AATGTACGTGTCCATAACCTCCGCTGAGATGCCGTAGGGTCCATTGTCACAGGGATTGTGCTTGCGGAAAAAGTTGTGTATGTTGCCCTCGCGTGCCAGCACCTCGGCCACGGTGCAGCTCTCAATGTACTGCAGGAAACCGTGCTTGGAGCTCGTGGCCAGCACCTTGTAGGGTGTCAGCTTGAGGTCCAGATTCTCGCGACGCAGCAGCTTGTCCATGAGCGTGATCATCTGGAGTATGAGCTGATCCTGGCGCAGATCATCGCCGTGCTTGAAGATGGCGACATATTCGTGCTGGGCAATCGATGTGACAAAGGTGAGTCTGTGGAGGGAACACAGGAAACGTTAGCTAAAGATTGACAGAGGGCAGATCTTCCCCCACTTACTTAGCCGGCATCAGAGCGCTCTTAAACAGCGACGTGCGCATAGGCACGATCTTTGTAATGTAAATCTCCGGATCCAAGGGGAAAGGTATGGGCTCAAAGTTGGTAAAGTTCATCTTGAACATGTCCTGCTCGGCGAGCAACTTCTGAAATTTCTCCGTCTTCTTGTTGCGATTGCCGGGCTCCTTGGCCACCTGCTTGACCAGCTTCACCAGCTCATCGATGAAGCGTCGCTGCTTGCGGAGGTTGTAGAAGGTGCCGCGCAGATTGAAGTTGCCATTCTCGAGCACTTTGAGGAACATTTTCAACACCATGGCGTACATGTCGTGGGCGCGTTCGTCCTGCTTGCGCACCGATTCCACCTCCTCCACCTCGATGGACAGATACCAGTAGAAGTAGTTGGCCAGCGTGGAGTTGCTGCAGGCGCGCTGGATGAGGAATGTGCACAGATTGCTGGGCACGCTGCCAAAGCTGATGCCATCGGCCAGCATCAGCGTGTTGGAATTTGAATCGGACACGAGCGAGGCGGTGGCATCAGCGACACGCGCGGGCGTCACTGGTGTGGGAGTGCTGCTGGGACCTGGCACAGTTGGTAGATTCTGCATCAAGCTGCCACTTGGAGCAACGCCTGAGGCGGGACTGATGGACTTTTCGCCACCCTTGATGGCTGCCAGTGCGCTGGCCGCCCGCTGATTGGCGGGTATCACCGAGGAATGTAACGCACTGCCGCTGCTCGTGCCACTGAGATCCGAGATGCTGCTCTGCTCCATCAGCGAACCGTTCTCGTCCAGCATGGAGCGTGCCACATCCCGCTCCGGGAAGATGCAGCTGTGCAGGTGCACTATGTTGCGTGGATCCTCGTACTTCAGAGCCTGCACCAGCTGCAGCAGATACAGCAGCAAATCCTCATCGGGCGCTTGTGCCAGGCGGCTTATGGCGTACTTGCGCACCTGCGGGTGGGTGAATGTGGGACTCAGCAGCTCGAGTGCATCCTCCACGTCCATGGGCGCCCAATTGGCCAGCATCCAGAGTGCCTGCATCACCTCATCCTCCAGCTTCCAGTTGATGCACTTGAGAAACTTTGTCAGCGCCTTCTTGTGCGACGACAAATAGAAGCGAAACTTCCACAGCAGATCCTGCTCCTCGCTGGTCAGCACATAAGTGGGCGGACAACGATAGACGATTGTGTGGAGCTGGTCGCGAATGCTGCAAGCAAAAGGGGGGAATGAGAGCTGCTGGGAATGCTGTAGAGACATCTTAGGTACCTGGCTGTTGGCTTGGCATCACGATCCGAGATGCCCGAACGCTCCGAGCGTGCCAGACGATGATGCTTGCGTTCCACCAGGTTTTCCATTTGTATTTCCGAGTCAGGCACGGACACCAGCTTGGGCTTAGCTGGCAGCTTATACTTGATGTCGCCCTCCGGCTCAAAGTAAACCACGGAATACTGCAACAAAGAACACAAAAATTAAGAATTTCCCACCCAAAAAGGCTTCTCCTGGCCACTCACATTATACATATCATCCACAATGATGGCAGGAAACTCAATCATGAGAAACATGTAGTCGGACATGCGCTTCTCGCGCTCATTGATCACCTCTATCTCGCGGAATGTGAGCCGATCCAGCCAGTCCACCTTCTGCACCTGCCCGTTGCGATGTTTTTTTGCCAATTTGCCGAGTCGCTGCATCTGTGACTTGGACGACTCCTTGCCCTTGCCGGGCGTCTTGCTGGGATAGCTGCCATCACCCTCGACGCCCAGCCAAACACGCAAGTCGTACATGCCCTGCCGGAACATGCCATCCTTGCCGAACACGGAGATCGCTGTGCCGCCAATGATGGTGGTCTGGCCGGCGCCGGAGCAGTCCAGGATGGTCAGCACCAGCATGGCGTTGCGCGGCAGGTCGGAGAAGCGCAGTGGCAGCGACACCCACTCGTTCCAGCTCCAGCGCTTGCCGAACGCCTTGTAGGCGCTGTGCACGGGCAGGCAGTAGGGTCGCCCGTTGTTGTACACCTGCAGGCGCACCTGGAACGAGGGATACTCCTCCGAGTAGAGGCCCGAGAAGCGCAATATGGGATCCTCTAGCAGCTTCTCATAGTCTGGCTGCCGCTTCTTGCCCTCGAGCGTACCACTGAAAATGAACGAAAATTATTTCTCGATTTTTCCCAGTCTCCCCCGGGCACTGCCACGCCCCTTTCAAGCTTACACTTTGATTTGCACGCGCTCGTGCAGCGCGCTGCTGTGTATGTAGCGAAAGTTATCATCGGGTTGATCCATTTTTCAGATATTTTTATATTAATTGCAAATTTGCATTAAAATATGCGTAATTTCCGTGCAGCAACAACTGCCAGACACAACACAAAACAGCTGATTAAGAGTGGTTCCGAGATGAACTAGTGCCCCTCAAAAGAGAGGGGAAAAACAGAATAAACATGCGTATGGGAGTTTCAACACCCTATATTCTTTATTAAACCTTAAAATATGTAATTGAATGGTTGAAATTGATTCAATATACCTTTGTACTCCGTAGCACCGTAAATATACACTGAACTCAATTTCGTAGTTAAAATATGCCGAATAGTATATAATATGCCGTAAATGGTCACCCCGATGCGTAATGAGTATCAACAGACACAGACACAACCCACAGCAGCTGATTCGCTATAGCTCCGCGTTGAAGCGAACTAGTTCCACCGCTGAACTGATACTGCGGCGCGCGTGTTTTTACATATATTTTGTTTAATTTTCAATTTTCAATTAAAAACTCTATCATCGATGGCCACAAATGCAACAATCGAACTGGCGCTGGACCGCGTGGACTGGTGTGCACTGGCCGAGCGGCAGGATGTCTTGCCGCGCGTCTACACACCCGGAGAGGTGGTCATGCCGGAGGCGGGCTTCATGCGAGGCCACGGCACGTTTGTGGAGGATGAGAACATAAAGGCCTCGGTGGCCGGCGTGATCGAGAAGGTGAACAAACTGATATCTGTGCGTCCGCTCAAGAGTCGATATGTGGGTGAGATCGGTGATGTGGTGGTGGCGCGCGTCATTGAGGTGCAGCAGAAGCGGTGGCGCGTGGACACAAATTCCCGCCTGGACTCCATACTGCTGCTGTCGTCGGTAAATCTGCCGGGCGGAGAGCTGAGACGACGCTCCGCAGAGGATGAACAAATGATGCGACGCTACCTGGACGAGGGCGATCTCATCTCCGCTGAGGTTCAAGTGAGTAATCCGTCCGTTGGGTTCCTGCCCCGAAGCTAAATTGAGTTTTCCTCTTTAGAACATCTTCGAAGAGGGCACCCTGTCGCTGTACACGCGCAGTTTAAAGTATGGAAAACTTTCCCAGGGCGTGCTCGTCAAAGTCTTTCCCGCTTTGGTAAAGCGTCGCAAGATGCACTTCCACAATCTGCCCTGTGGGGCGTCTGTGATCTTGGGCAACAATGGCTACATCTGGATATCGCCACCCAAAGCTCAAGAGCAGGAGGGCGGCGAGGGTGGCTTTGCACAGAATCTGGGGGAAGCAGTGCCGCGAAACGAGCGTGAGGTCATCGCCCGCCTGCGCAACTGCATCCTGGCCCTGGCCAAGTGCAAACTGATGCTGTACGACACCAGCATACAGTATGCCTACGATGAGTCGCTCAAGTACGAGGCCCACGAACTGCTGCAACAGAATGTCATCTACGATATTGGCGAGCAGACGCAGGCTCGTCTGCGAGATGGAGATGAATAGCCAGGAATAAACCAAAACAAAAACAAAACGTGCCCCAAACTTCGTTTCTTAAACTATTTTGAACAGGGTGGCAGCGCTGACACATGTGTTCAGTCTGGTAGCACGGATACCTTTTGCTGGTCTGGCAGCTCTGCAGGGTTCGTGAAAAGAAAAGACGCCTGAAAAATTTGTGTCACTGCTTAAACCGTGCAACTAACTAATTTTGTGTGCAGTTTGCGGTATTGCTATTTTGTTTGTATCTTTATTAACTATTAAGTGTGTGTATTTGCCAATTGTGAAAGCATAACACTGTCACTATGGAAGACCTCGCCAGAGCCCGTGAGTGCGAGTTGGCCGAGAAGAAAATCTGCCGCTTCTGCTTGACTGGGGAGAAAATAGCCTCGCTTTTTGCTGAAAACTCTAGTGTCAAGTCGACTGCATCGCTACCACTGCTGATAATGGCTCTCACATCCACCGAGGTAAGTCCGGATCGGAATGTTTAATTTGGTTCAAAGTTGCACTAACAGCAAAACCGAGCAAAGAACTTGGCTAAGACAATGCTTGGAGGTTTCTGAACAGACTGCGTTTATGGGGGGGTCTTGGCTAAAGGGACCGGCCAGGCAAAAGCCCTCTGATCGGTCATTCACACAAACCTATAACCCACATAAACTATTGATTTCGTGCCATTTTGGCATGCTAATTCTGTGAAATCATTATTTTGCATACAATATTGTGACAACTGTACGCACACAAACACACACTCACGTCAGCTGTTGATGGGGCTGCCACTCGCAGTAGGGTGTTTGGCGCGCACAGACAAATTTTCAAAACGATTTCTATTTTCTTCATAATATATCATCTTCAGCGTATATTTTGTATAAAATCTTCATTGTACAGTCGTCTTATGTAATATTGGTGATATCAAATATATACGTGGTTGTATATTTGCATAAGTCTCCATTGTGTATCTCATCTTATATGCCTAATAATTGTAATTTCCCGATTGGCAAGTGATTAATTATGTATATATGAAAGTGTGTATATGAGTGGGGATGAAAATTTAGTCAACAATAAAGCTAGAAAGAACCTACAACTAAACTTTAAGTAGCATGGAATCCAAAGTGACGCATTGTGGCGGGGGTGGGAGGTTGTTGTGGGCGTTGAACGTATCAGGCGGGGCGCTGGGTGTGCGGTTGAGATACTTTTTTTAGCCAGCCTTATTGCCGTTGGGTTTGTCGTTGAAGCGCAGTATGCGCGTCAACATGGAGGTGAAGCACGGAATTTGCTTTTGTTGATCCATCATTGGGTTAGCCGGCACGTTCGACTCAAAACTGATGGCCACATGCTGACTGACGAAAGTGAGCAGCGTGAGCAGATCGTACTTTTTGGCATTGCTGTTCAGCTCCTTGATGAGTGACTGCATGTACCACGAGCCGTTGTTTATATTGCGCCAGGAAAAGTAGCCTGCAAAAGGGGAGAACGTAAATCAAAGAGGAAAGTGATGTTAAGACCAATCCTTACCGGGTATCGTCGAGTATGAGAAGAGAAAGTCGGCGTGGACGGGTATTTTGTAGCCCACGGATGAGTCCCCATCCGTTTCAGTATCGCTCTTCTCGAGCATTACGCCACCGTCGAGACGATCGCCCTGGCAGGCCTGGATGAAGAACAGCTTGGGCTTGCCCGCCAGCGTGGGGCACATTTGGGCCGTGAAGTAGTGCCAGATCTGGTCCAGCTTGTACTGCACATCGTTGGCATAGATGCAGCCATGCTCGCCGTGCGACAGTATGGCAATGGCCAGGCAATCATTGTCCGTGTGATCCAGCGAGGCAATCTTCTGAATTTGATCGCGTATGCTCTGCCACTTGCAGTCCTTGTACACGGACACATCGAAGCCCAAACGCTTGAAGCTCTTGCGCAGCTCCTCGGCATCCACATTGGTGCCAGCGCGGGCACGCAGCGTGGGTATCTCGAAGAATTCATGATTGAATATCATCGCTTGACCGCGATGCTTGTGATTCATGTTGTACTCGCTGGCATAGCGCTCCACGGGCATGCGGGCCTTGCTGTTGATTGCAGCGGCTGGAAGGCTACGAATAAGTTGCAGAATATCAATTAAACATCCAATTTGTCATTAAAACAGCGATAAGATTAGATAAATATCAGTGGCCGAAATTAGAAATGATTTAATTTTGGCACAGGTGTTAAAATAATTTTGGGACTTTACAGGCAATTTGGTTAACAAAAAGAAAGGCAAAGGCAATGACTAAGAGAAAGAATGTTAGACGACAGCACGAAGAGATTTCATTCAGCCAGCAACAAATCATAACGGAATCGGGAGCAAGGGTATCAAAGGAACACACAGACCCACACACACAGATGCCTGAGCGTGTACACAAATAATATGCATACTTTTGTAAAAGGGAACGGGAGAACGAAGCACAGGGAGAGAGAGAGAGTGAGATAGCGCGCGCACACACACACACACACACACAATGCACATGGACCTTACCTCGCTGCAGCCAATGCACCACCGCCGCCGCCGCCGACTTTACCCTCACAGCCTTTGGCATCGGTACTATCGCCCATGCTGCTGCGATTGCCTGCTCCCGTTCCATTTGAGCCGAGCACAATAAAGTTTCTAGTGATGCACTCGTCCGTCATTTTGATTCTTGATATCTTCTACTTGGGAGAGAGCAGTGCAGAGCAGCGACTGATACTACTGCAGCGTCAATTGTTTGTGTGGTTCTGTTCTCCTTTTTGCCTGCCTTTTTCCTTTTGTTCGCCGCGTCTGCCTGCCTTCTTCTCTCTGCCTTCAATTGTTGCGCCCTTCTTTGCAAGCGAGCGAGGCCGGGCCCGTCAGTCAGGTTCTTTGATATTGTTTGTAACCAAAACGCCACTAACGCGGTAACCAACAGCTGTTTTGTCGTTTGTTTTATTTCTTTGATGCACTAACAATTGAGTAATGGATTAAATATCCTTTTATGGCTTAGACGCGTTTAATCAATTAATTAACGGAGGTTAAGCGTGCTCACGAATCTTGATGTTTGTGTTTTGTATGTGATATGCAAGTGTGTGTGTATGCACTTGCCGCCAAAGTAGGGATGTAAATACTGATCGATGTATCGACCAACAAACATATCGATAGTGCGTCCATCGATGGTAGTTAAAATATCATGTAGGTATCGAAATGTCGCTTATTTAAATGTTTCTGTTTATTTTTTTTAACAGGTGAGCGCCGATGATAAAATGCCCAGCTACATTTGCCTCGACTGCCATCTGCTGTTCGAGCACAGCTACCGCTTTATGCAGATGTGCAAGCGTGCAGAGACAGCGCTACGGCAATATCCGCTGACTGGAACGCTGCCAGCACCGATGGAGAAACCACGTCCACCTTCCAAGAATCCGACTGTGGTCGCTGCTGTGGTCAGGAAGGATGGCAAAGCGGCCGACGCACAGCCCAGGAAACTGCTCAACACGCTGGCCAACTCCAAGACGGTGATCATTGAGGATGTGCAGGTGCTGGAGACGAGTTTGCTGGCCAAAAAACTGGCCACAGCGTCCACACGCTCCAAATCCTATCAGATGAAGGTGGAGAACAATCAGGAGCTGTCCATGGATGACATACAGAACATGATGGATGATATGGACAACGAAGTTGAAGAGGAAGCAGCAGAGACAGCAGCAGCAGCAGCAGCAGCAGCAGCATCATCTGTGGCAGCTGCAACGTCGCCCCCAGCAGCTGTGCCGCCCGTTCAGCAGAAATTGCCCATCAAGCCAAAGGTGCTGAACAAACCCACCGTGCGGATACTAAACAAAGGCGCTGCAGTGGCCGTGGAGCCCGAACTGGCCACGAAACAGATCAAACGTGGACGGGATGGCAATGTGGCAATTGTCACGGAAATTATAGGCCCCAATACGGTGCCCCAACATGAGGATGCCACCAAGGACGCTGCCATCGTGGCGACCAATGTGTTTCCCTGCCCGGACTGCGAGCGCTCCTTTCCGCTGCTGCAGCTGCTCGAGATTCATCGACTGAATCATACGCGCGCACGCAGCTTCCAGTGCGCCGACTGCAGCAAGGCGTTCTTCTCCAAGTACGATCTGCAGAAGCATCGATTCATACACACCGGCGAGAAGCCGTTCGCCTGCAGTGTCTGCGACAAGGCGTTCACGCGGCGAGCGCTGCTCCATCGGCACGAGAGCACGCACACGGATCTGCCGAAGTTCATATGCGTGCACTGCGAGAAGCCATTCCTGTCGCGCGAGGACATGACGAAGCATGCCGAAAGGCACACAAAGTCCCGACCATTCCGCTGCACCATGTGCAGCAAGTCGTTTGCCTTCAAGCAGGGCCTGGAGCGACATGAGGTAAGAGCCAGTGGCCAGAGCTGCTTTAAGTTACCTTCAACTAACTTCCTTTTCTCCCCCGCAGGTGGTCCACAGCGTGAATCTGCCCTTCCCCTGCGAGCACTGCCCCCGGAGCTTTGTCACCTCCAGCAAACTGGCGCGCCATTTGGTGGCCCATGCGGGCAAGCGGGCCTATCCCTGCAAATACTGCTCCAAGTCGTACATTCTCTCGCATCATTTGTCGCGGCATTTGCGCATGCACAAGCAGGATTCGGGCGCCTCGTTTGCCTGCAGCATTTGCAAGGAGTCGCACCAGAGCTACGACAGTCTCATCGAGCACTCGGTGCAGCACGCGAACATGTCCCTCAAGTGTCCGCTGTGCAACGAGAAGATCCACGACATAGCCGCCGTGGAGGGACACATGACGACGCACAAGGAGGGCGAACGCTTTGCCTGCGAGTTCTGTGACTTGATCTTCCTCAGCTCGGAACGCCTGCAGAAACACATCGAGGATGAGCATGTGCTGGACATGGACATGTATCAGAACGATGGGGACAGATTCTCGAACCAGAGCGATGCCGAGGCAGAGTTTGACGCACATGAAGCCGAGATGGACGAAGCAGAGCAAAAGTTTCTGCTGCAGGAACTGCTGCGCGATGAGCAGCCAGCATCGCCACCGCCGCCGGTCAAGAAGCGCAAAGTGGAGGCCACGGACGCCTTTGTGATACCCAAACGCACACGGCAGACGCATCTGGCAGATGTCGCACCAGCAGAGACTTCCCCTACGACGAGACAGCAAGCAGTGGCAACGAGGAAGGGATCGAGACGTTCGCTGATTAAAAATGGAAATTCAGCCACAAATTCCAGGCATTAAATTGTACATTCAACCATCAGTAGAGGTAGCCTATAGCTGGCCACACATTAAACGAAATATTTCTTAGTGTTATTCGCCCGATCCGAATCGTCTTTGTCCTCGAGGGAGGAGTTTTGCGTTTGCTTTATTCAATCAAGGATCCAACAGCAGTGTCTGTGTTTGTTGTGGTGTTCCGCATAGAGTTTAGAGTTTAGTTTAACATTAAATACAAGTCTCCTCGCAGCATACGAATGTGTGTTAGCCAGGCCAGGCCAATGAACCCAAAAAGACAAAACCTTCATCCATCCTTCAACCCCACACGGAAATGCGACTAAGCGAGTGTCCACTTAGTGCTCATAGCCATCGGGCAGGGGGTTGACATGGGGGTTGTGGAACAGGCTCTTGTTGCCCTCGCCCCAGGGGAAACGCTTCTCGCGGCGACGCAGGTAGTCGTACTTGATGAACTCCTGGCGGGGCTTGTCGTGCTCCTCCTGGTGCTTCAGATAGGCATTCAGCATGCACAGGCCGACGGCTGGCACGGCCACGAAGAAGGACAGGCGCTTCCACACCTTGTAGCCACCTGCAAGGAGTCAAATTTGTTTAAGGAGAGCCACCAAATCGATTGTCTTGCCTAACAGCCAGATTACATAACCTTAACCCCACAAACATTGCAGAATTTGGCATAAGAATATTTACCCGAGTGCTCGCCAGCCACGGCAGCAGTGCCGGACATGTTCCTGGCCGCAGTAGCGCCAAATTGGCGACGAATTGCGTGGTTTAGAATAGCAGACATATTCTCCCTGCGATTTTGACGAATGAAAATTTTGCTATTAATAGGGATGAGAAATCGTAGATTCGATTGATTAGCTACAACTGATATCGATGTTTACGCTGACTGAATCGCACTGTGAGTGACATTGAAGTCGCTTGCTTTGCTATAAAAAAATAAACAAACTTTAATAGAGTTTAAGATGTACTTGTTTGTCAATTACACAGCATTTAAAATAACAACAATTACATTTAGTTGAACTTAGTCACAAGTATTGTTCACCTCTAGCACGACTGCAATACCCATCGCGGTTATCGGTTATCGGCTGCCCCATCGACAACAACGTCGTGTCGCGTAATTTTTCTCCCTATTGTTGATATAAAATTGTAAATACATTTGTCTAAAGCAAAAGTGCACAACATCCGTTAGTGACGCGACACCGCACGAGCAACATCAGCCAGCGCTGAGCAGCCCGCCAAGGACATGCATATTGTAAATTGAATCGAAAGCATGAGTAGACAGTGAAAAATATTAAATTAGCAGCAACCCGGAGTACAAAAAAACCAACACCCACGAATAGCCAAGTTTTTTATAACAATTCTCATTAGACAATAAACCCACGGCACCCCCCCACAAGTGTTAGAAAGTAAAACGAAGAGTATTATTACAACGAAACGAAACGCAATTTAATTAACAAATGGCTGCCAATAACTTGCGACAAATACCGCTGACCTGCAGCGGACATACGCGTCCAGTGGTGCATTTGGACTTTAGCGGCATCTGCGACAGCGGATACTTTCTCATCTCCGCTTGCAAAGGTAAAAAACGATGTGCACACAAAAGATCCCATGCGATAAACTGTCCTTGTGTGTTATTTATAGCCTGCCAATCGACGAAAGATGCAGCATCAGCAAATTAACAAACAAAACAAACATAATGTATGAATGTCTGTGCGTACTTGTGTTTAGGCCTGATTGAGGCTCTCTGTCTAGCCTGGGTGAAACCTTGACCCAAATGTTGAATCACTTATTAATGAGGCGAAACCTGTTTACTGCGTACGAACCCTTTTCCCACACAAACACAGCCACATACACTTCTCGCTTGCAATATATTTTGCATTCTTTGCCTTGAGATGTCTCTGTCTCTATCTCTCTCTCTCTCTCTCTCTGTCTGTCCTGTCATGGTGTGCGTGAGTGCTTGCAATTATGCGGAATCAAAGCAAATAATTTTCATTCCAAGTTCAAGTTAATTTTTGTTTGCGCTTTATCGCCATTTAACGTACAGGCTTCCCCGCTTGTTTAACAACTTTTCAAAAAAAAACTTTGCCCGTTTTGTGCGTACAGGAAGCACCTTGAAACTTCTATATTTACATTGTGAGCTGCTGTCAAGAGAGAGAGAGAGAGAGAGAGAGAGACTTTCATATGTATATGGAATGCTGTATACCCTTTAAAACGGGAAGCGTTAGATGCATTTGGGAATGATTAGGGAATACATTCACGTACTATATCCATTTCCTGCTGGAACATGCCAGCACAAGGTGAATTTACTTGCAAGGTGACGTCTTCACCACAGTTCAATCTCTTTCCCTTTCTAGCGCTTGTTGGTTGGTGTGTGGTGAATAAGTTATTGGTCCTCCCCTTAGCGGATAACCCAACCTTCTAAGTAAATTCCCCTTGTTTCAGCATAATTCCTCGCTGTTCCCATATACCCCACCCCACCCCACCCACAGACAACCATTTCCATATCCCCAACATCATTAAATATACAATTAACTGATAACCGTTTACATTCTAAACTGAAAATGTTGCTTTGATTGAACTAACGATCTGTGTCCCTGCCTGTAAACTGCAAGCGGCAGCTGCACATCGAGAATGTTGTGAACTTGGGAGCTGCCTGGCTGGCTGCTGGCTTGCATGATTCCGATTCCGTTTCGATTGCCGCTGCTGCCGCCGTGTCAGGTCGTTGGCATTGGGATGTTGTGGCGTAGTCATTGAGTCAAGGTGGCTTCCGCCGCTCACACTTACAATTAATTTATCAATTTATTACACTTGTTATGGCGCAACTGAGAATTCTGGATTGTTCTTGCAGATGGCAGCCCGATGCTGCGTCATGGCGACACTGGCGACTGGGTGGGCACCTTTGAGGGGCACAAGGGCGCCGTGTGGAATGCCACACTTAATCGTAATGCAACACTGGCTGCCTCGGGAGCGGCCGACTTCACCGGCAAGGTGTGGAATGCGGTGAGCGGTGCCGAGATCCACAGTTTCCAGCACAAGCATATCGTGAAGAGTGTGGCCTTCGATGCCGACTCAGAGAACATTGTGACGGGCAGCAACGAGAAGCTGGTGCGTGTCTTCAATCTGGAGCAACCGGAGGCCAAGCCGGAGGAGTACAGTGGCCATGCCGGGGCCATCAAGCGTGCGCTCTTCTGCCGCGACGACAAGTGCATCGTGTCGGCGGCGGAGGACAAGACCGTGCGCCTGTGGGATCGCATGACGGGCATTGAAGTGCAACGCCTGCAGTTCAACAGCCATCCCAATAGCCTGGAGATCTCGCGCGACAATCACATCCTGACCATTGCCCATGGCTCGTCGATCAGCTTCTGGGAGGTGGACACCCTCAAGAAGCTCAAGGAGGTAAAAGTGCCGACAAATGTCGCATCGGCCAGTTTGCATCCGGACAAGCACGTCTTTGTCTGCGGCGGCGAAGATTTCAAGATGTACAAATTCGACTACATAACAGGCAATGAAATAGGTAAGAAAATGAGTCCACCAGATATGTGTTTGCTGCTTTCTAATCCTCCTTTCATTCTATGGCAGAATCATTCAAAGGTCACTTTGGACCAGTGCATGCGGTCAAGTTCAGTCCCGATGGCGAACTGTATGCAAGTGGCTCCGAGGATGGCACCCTGCGACTGTGGCAGACCACGGTGGGCAAGACCTACGGCCTGTGGAAGTGCACAGAGCCCAATGAGTTGAACAACTCGATGAGCTCGCCACGCGAAGTGCCCGCTAACTGATGCTGGAGAATTGCCAGTGCAATGGAGCGATACGAGACGAGCTATAGCTGAGATCTTTTGACGATATTTTATATATATATTCCAACGCTGAACTCTTCTACTCATTGGCATTAAATGATTAAAAACTTCATTGTGAAATGCAATAGAAATAAATAAATTAAGTTTCTCAATTGTGACTCGGGGCGGCACTGCCTGCCGCTTAGATGTGTGTGCCCGTGGCCCAGCCATGCAGGTAGATGGTCGTAAAATTAAGCAGCGGTTCACCCTGATGTATGTCGTCACGGTTCTGCAGATGATCGAACCAGCGGGAGAGATTTAGATACGCTTCCTTGTCCACGGGCGACAACGATTTCTGCAACAAAAATCGAACAACTTGAAACTGAAAGCGCACCACAAACAGCACAAACAAATACACACCACAAGATCATAAATGGCATAGTAGACAGCCAGATCGGCCAGTGTTATGAAGTGCCCCACGAGATAGGATTTGGTGGCAAAGAGCTTGTTCAATTCCGCAAGCAACTGCTTGGCCACATTCCTGTCCTTGGAGCCGGGCGCCACGTAGAGCACAGAGAACTCAATCCACTGATACACCTGTGCCTCCACTTCCCGCGTGGCCTTGCTGTTTTGCGCCGTCTCCGACTTGGATTCGTTGGCCAGGCTCTCCAGAATTGTGGCAAATCCCGCCACGGCCCCTTGCTTTGCACTTGTGCGCGTTACGACCTTCACAATAAAAAATCAATTGATGGCTGCCAAAACCTTTGTGCACTAAATTGCGTATGTTTTACCTGTTCCTCGTTCAGCTGCACATTGCCGGGGGCCACGCCAAGGCAGTGGGCAATCTTTTGCACTTTTGCAACGTCGCACATGGTCAAATGTATTAATTAAATTACAATTACAATTATTTCGCGTGCAAAAAGCTATCTATATCGCATGACCCTCAAAAATATACCAAAATATACCGCAATATATACCTGCGATAAGTGGAAGCCATCTGTTGGTATTTACATGAACTTTTGTGGTAGTATGTTGTTAGCACTGAACTACAGTGCTGTAAAGGGTTGTAATTTCAACGAATTAAAACAATTTAACGTTTAAATTGAAAGTTTACACATTTATTATACACTTATGACACATTTATAATATTGGTACGAGTAAAATGGAATACATATCCGACTCATTTTCATCATTAACACCTCCCACTGCACTCTATCCATGTAAGTACATATGTATGTGTACCTGTACAATCCGTTCGAATTTGGGTTTAGTTTACGGCTCGAATTGACCCTTTTGTGTGGCATTGAGCGGGGAATATATTCAGATTTTTGGACAAAAATTCAAATTACATCTAAATATTTGCTCTAAGATGTGTTTTGTGTATTAAATTTAGTGTCTGCGCACGTACATAAATACATTTATTATGTACATGCCTATGTATATGTATGTGTATTTTCTCCTCAATGTACCGCTACTTTACTGGTGTCCATTCTACAATTTGGGCCGCGTGCCAATTGATATTTTTTGATGGAACCACCAACGTTAGCATTCCTTTAAATTCCATTGTGCTGCAATAGTTTTGTGGATTTTTGTTCATCTCCCCAATACTCGTATTTTTTTATAAGACATTTAATGGACTTTTTTCTATAAGTAGGTGTGTGTCCTTGCTACAGGCTTAATTTGGGTACATTCAGAGTTAAAAATTCCTCAAAATTCATCGTTCTAAATTGTTGCTGCATAAATCGCATGTAAAACTAATCTCTATGCTGTGTGTTTGTGGCGTGCCTCTCTAGTGTTTTTTTTTGATTATTTAATTGTTTTTTTTTCGTTTAATTTTGAAATGGTCCCGACTAACACATACATACAATACATACATACATACACTATGAGAAACCTAGAGACGTGCCGGCTCATGGTGAAATTACTTAGAAGGGGGCGCTGTCCTCACTAACTTATTCACCACGCTCAAAAAGACAAGCGCTAGAAAGGGATGGAGATACAGAGTGCTCTGTGTTGAAGACTTCACCTTGTGAGCAATTTCACCATGCGCCGGCGGTCAGTGCACGGATGGGGCCTGCTGTTTCTGTTTCTGTTTCTGCAACAAAATTATTTTGTTTAGTTGAATAACAAATTCCTAATTCCTAGTGTAAGCAAAAATTGCACAACGTGTAGTAAATATTCATTGGGGTTCGTTTACATCTAGAGTTTTCTTTGCTTCAAAACTTAATTAACAATCAATTATTCATATTTGGGATTTTAAAAAATGCAATTAAATTACCATTACACATACACACACATCAATACATATGTAATTAATAACAATAAATTCCATTCGGCAAACGGTGGCCAAACCATTCAAAAAATCAGTACAATTTCGCGCCCTCGCCACTCCCCTAAAGGGATTTTTAAATTTCACTTTTCAAAAATTACAAAAATTATTGCTTTTGATTTTGGGTTGGTTGGTTGGTTGGTTGGTTGGTTTTTTGTTGTGTGCTTTAAATTCTCTCAATTGAAATAAAGACAAAAATAAAATAGAGAAAAACGAAAGGCATAATAAATGATATTTACGTTTCTTGTTTATATTTAATCAAACTATATACAGGATTTAAGTGTAGAAATGACTAGAGTAAAGTATAGTTTAAAGAACTAAAATTAAATAGATAAATATATGTACAAATGAGTCATCCATAACTTGGGAAATTTTGCACTTATAATCTATAGGAAATCCTCGGGATTCGGCTTTAGTGTTGCGTAACGAATTACGTTTGATGCTTAGAGCACATGCAGATTCTCGCAGCTCTTGGACTTGGAATCTCTGGTCCAGACACGTCCCAGCAGGCCCTTCACCTTTAGGCTGGTGGAGGTTCTCGAGCCCCGATATTTGCGTGGACTGTAATGACAGAGACAGAGGGGAAATTAGTGGCGTTATACTACACTGCAGGCTTTGCTGAACTCACCTGCTTTGAGAGCTTCCCGGCGGCGTGCCGGGCAACTCGCTCAGCGGTCCGCCCAGCGGTCCCAGCGGGCTGTTGGCATTCAGGCAGCCGGCATTAAGCGGCGAGCAGGCGCGACGCTTCGACTTTCTAATCGAACGCTTGCGGAACAGATCCCTGGAGGGAAAGAGAAATCATCACAAATTAGCATTATTAGCAGGCAGCTCAATGGAGCGTAACGTGCGTTTGCCACCCACCTGGACTTTTCGGGATTCTCCAGCTTGAGGCGTATTTGGGAGAGCAAGCCCACCAGCAGCTCGTCCACATTGTGATTGATGCCCACCGAAGTTTCAATGAATTTGCAATCGTATGCGGTGGCCATGGCCTTACCCTCTGCAAGGAGAGAGAGTGAGAAAAGTTAAGTGAAAATGCGTGGAAATTATGACCATGTTACTCAGTGAATCAAATCAAATGGCTGGCGCTTAGTTAAGTCTGCGTTTGATGGTCATAAAATACGGAACTTGGACACGGATTTCATATCCAAACACGGGCTGACTGGCTGACTGGCTGTTGTCCAACTCGTAAATTCTGAAGCATCAAGCTGAAGCTTGTACCTCATGTGCGAGAGTGCTGAGCCCTGCCGCCCTCCTGCTGCTGCGTACATTTTATGACAATTTTTATTAACGATGTGACGAAAGTTGTTCAATACACACACACACACACATTTACCCTATATTTATATAATGGTATGTGTGCGCAGATTTTATTAGATTTTGATGGGCAGGCAACTGCTTTAAAGATTTAAGCGCTGAACTCTCGGCCGCCCGGCATGCCCTCTGTTTTGCCTTTCTAATTAAAAGCCAACAAAGGGGCACAACAACATTGAGGCTGCCAATGTTGACTCAAATGGACTCATTGGAGTGGCACTAAAGTTGCTGCAGACATCATTAAATAGGCCCAAAGAGAAAAGGTGCAAAATATTTCAAGTACGGCCCTCCCCTGCCTGCACATGTCAGTTTTCCAATCAATTGTGACAATATATAGGATTTATGGAAATAAACTTCCTGTACAGGCATAAAGGCACAAAGTTCTAGAAATACTTTATGCAATTAGGGAGCCAAACCCCTCAACAATAGGCTTATGTGCCTTAAGTGACTCCACTTAAGTCCCCGAACACATGCCACGCGGGACACAAAATGTAATCAATTTTGCGCTGAAACAAGTTCTCCGCCATTAGCCTCGGTGAACCCCTTGCTGGACGCGCAGCTCCCGCAAACCATTTTCATAATAACAAATCTAATTTGACAGAAAATATTGAATTACTTAGATGAAAGAGAGCGCCGCGCCAGCGTTACCTTTGCCGGGGTGGGGCGGCTGGTAAAGCTCTTTGGGGAATCCGATATTAAAGTCAAGTACTTGAGCCGCACACAACACGGCGGAGCGACCTTTCCCTCGCTTAAAACGCTGCCTGCTGACTTCCGCGTGGGTAAACTCTAAAGCTCCACTGCCAGTGGCAGCAGCAGTCGGCTCTCAGTATGTATATCGTACATCGAAGGACCCTTGCCACCGACTGACATTCAATATCTATTTTTAAACAGAAACCCAATCGAGCGCACTTTCAAGTGTTAATGAATAGAAGGAGGGTGGCATAAATCTCTACGACTTACCTTCAGATGTGACCAGACGACTCCTGGCGAGGTCCGACTTATTCGACACCAAAATGACTGCCTTTTGCGCAATGTTCTGATTGGTCCAGAGCACCTGGAGCACCTGTTCGGCGACGGTGAAGCTGCTACGGTCTGCCGCCGAATAAATGACGCAGTAGCCATGAGGATCATAGTTGGTCAAGCACTCATCCGGCTGTGAAACGAGATGACAACCAGAAAATGACATTGAGTGAGGTTGAGTTAAAAGCTTTAACAGCAGGAGGATGCCTCTGCTGCTGCTGCTGTGTGTGTGTGCATGTTAATGACATTATGAAATGTCACGAACAGAGTGGACACAGTGGGGTGGAGCAGCTGGGAGACTGTGTGTGTGTAGGGCAAAGGGGCAGGGTTGAGTACTCACAGTCATTTCGGTGTAGCCATGGTCAATGAATATCAATTCCGATTCCTCGCCACTGAGTAATACTGAAACGGCCTTCTCGCCAGATTCATCATCTGCATGTGTGGCAGAAATACAAAACAAATAGTTCAGCGAATTAATTTTAATGCAAAACACGCGCCAGTTGTTGATGGAAATCATTTTCAAGCTATGATTATGAATTTGTGCAAACGGCATAGCTAATGTGGATAGAGAGTGCAATAATAAGGGGAACAAAATGCAGTTACAGCTGCTGCTAGCGCTGTGCATGCCAACGAAAATATAAAATGATTGCCCCAAAAAGTATGCTATGTTTATTGCCCAACCCAAAACGCAATGCGATGCGGCAGTAAAGGCATGTGTGTGTGTGTGTCGCTGTGTGAGTGCTGTTTCCCACTATTATTATTATAATTTTTAATATTATTCATGTCACATGTTGTCTGCTTTGTGGCCGTGTTTATTCATTAAACAAGAATTATGCCGCCTGACACGTACATTTATTCGGAGGCCCAATACCAAAACACACCACCCCTGGAACCCCTACTTAATTAGTGCTTAGTTGGAACTGCGTTATGCAAAATCATTTCAATGCCGCGGCCATAAATCACAGGCCAAACAAAAGGCCAGGCCCGGCCGCAAAGCGCAATCATTTGACAAACAATTGGAAAAGCGCCCACGGAAAAGCCAACCAACCAACTAGCGGAGTGTATTAATAAGTATTACTCCGTGTGTGTGTGTGTGTGTGTGTGTGTGTGCGTGTGTGTTCCTAGGGCTGGTGGCTAAATCGAACTCAATTAGCGGGCGGGAAAAATCAAATCTAAGGCAGGGCAAATGCAAAGGTAGTTGTGGGAAAGTTGTTGTGTTTCTTGTTTGTTTGAGCATTTGTTAAGCGTAGAGAGAATATTTTGAATAAATTGTAGATATGTTAAGGAGTAACATGATTATTATTGCTATTAATATTAATTTATTTAATCTGCTTTTACCGTCGGCGGCTTTATCAATTTGAATGCGTATATCACAGTTGCCTAGATCTTGTATCGGTTTTATGTACAGAGTTGTTATAGTTGTGGTTAAAGTTGTTATTGTTGTTGTAGTTGTTGTTGTTGTAGGGTTTGTTTGATGATGTTTGGTTACAGAGAATATCGAATTTTGAATGACACATCAAATTGGATACGAAATGGAGAGAAACAGAGCAGAGATGATCATTGCTTTATAACCAGACATACATATACATATACAATACATACATGAGACATGATACATACATACATAATACATAGTACATATGACAGAAAATCGGAAAATATTATTGCCAAACAAAAAAAGATGAACCAACAAGTTAAAGCCAAATTTTGCATTCTTTTTCTTAGTTTTTTAGCCAAAAAAACAGACAAAGAATTACTGGGAGCGGGTGAGGGAGCGGCAGGTCAAAGCCCCAATGCATATGCACATTTTCGTTTATTCAATTTTCCATTTCGCTTTGTCAGTTTTTATGTTTCTATTGATTTTGTCTCTAATCTTTCTTTTTCTCCTTTTTCTTTTATTTATTTATTTTTCTCTTGCTCTTCTTTTTTGTCTGCCAATGGAATTGTTTATTGGCATTTTCCCACACTCGCTGGGAAACGTTTCCACCCACTTTTTTATTTTCGTTATTTGGCAAAAATTTCCAGAACTGAAGAGCATTTATTTTCATTGCAGCTTTGTTTGGCAACAAATCGGAAACGTATAGAGGAAATTTTGAGCGAATATTTTCAAATGCAGAAACCAAAATAGCTACAAATTACAAAATTAAACTGAAAAGGGTGAAAGGGTTGGGCAGGGAACAGCAGCGGGAACAGTAACAGAAGCAGTAACATAAATAGGAACAGTAACAGTAACAGAAGCAGTAACAGAAGCGGGAGCCGGAACAGTAACAGTAACAGAGGCAGTAACAGAAGCAGTAACAGCAGCGGGAGCCGGTACAGTAACAGTAACGTTAACAGAAAGAGTAACAGAAGCAGTAACAGAACGAATAACAGAAGTCATGACAGCGTTTGAATTACAAGGGGAAACTCCCACCGGGCTTAAGGGTTTACGGAGCACACACAGACAGACAAACAGTTAGATGGATGATTCGCGGGGCAATGCAGTGTCGCTATGGGCTATAATTTTGGGGCCACTCACCGATGCTCGTGTCGTAGGCATGCAAGTACTCCGATGTCATGAACTGCGAGACCAGCGAACTTTTGCCCACGGCCGGACCACCCAGCATGAGTACTCTGAAAAGAGAGAGAAGAAAGGAAATGCTTTAGGCACCTGCAGGCATGCCCTTTCCCGTAACAGACACTCACCTGTATGGCCCGTTGCCCGGATTGGAGGTGCTGCTCTCGCGGCTGGAGGCCAGCGATGTGCGGGCCGAGCTGGATGTGGGCGCCGGCAGCTGCTGTTGCTGCAATTGTTGCTGCTGCAATTGCACCTGCAACTGCTGCTGCTGCTGCTGCTGCTGCTGCTGCTGCTGTTGGGCGGTCAAATGCTCCGTGCTGGAGTTCGAGCTGGCCACACTGTTGTTGGAACGGCTGCGTCGACTCTTGAGCGAGTCGCCGCGATTCACCACACCCTTGCCAGTGATGGAAAAGTGGCGCAGGCGGTAGTACTCCTCCTCGACACCAGTGTTGGGCATGGAAGCCACTCTGCAGGGTGCCAGGAGAGGGGTTAACAGAGTTCTGGCTGTGGCTCTCTCTCTCTCTCTCTCTCTTGCCGCTGCTTACCTGGATCTTTGCTGCGGCAAACATAGCTGATTGGGCCTGCCGGAGGCGCGACTGCCAGGCATTTTTACCGACTGCGAGCGGCTGTGATGAGGTGAGCCATAGCTGCAAAAAGATGCAAAAAAGCAGCCTGTGAATAGGGGCACCAAAGCGGCATTGTGCTGTTTATCTGCAACTGACACATGTCCTGGCACCTGCTCTGCCCTTGGCATGGTGTTAGGAGCTGCCCCACAAGGCAAAGGGGGGAATTATATAAATAGTTTCCAATATGTTATGACAATCAACAACGGCAGCTCTGTGGCCACGTGCTGCCATAGAAATATTGGAAATATTTGTGTGGGCAACGAAAAATGTGTGCAAAATTCGCAAACACAAAATTACAATGCAAAGCAGTCCGGGAATCTGCCATGTAGGCAACCGTCTGCGATTATGCGATTTCGATTTCATTTTCGAATGAAATGGCCAACAGGTGAAGGCCACAAAAGACCAAAGAGTTGCCCAAAGAGTTTGCCTTTCTTGATTGCTTTGCTCCGGAATGACCCTCTTGCAGCAGCGTTGCGAAATGGCAATTGCCATCGGAAATTAAATCTCAAGCTGGGCGCCATAAAAAAGAACGTAATCTGTGGGGAGTGGCTGGCTGGGTCTCCGTATCGATCTCCCTGTCGTCCCTTGAGGTGCTTACCGCATTTCAAAGTCGCGCAGCTCCTCAATGGTGAGCGTATTGGTCACATCCAGCAGTTGCCGCATATTCTCATCCCGCTTGTGCTGCTGCGGATGATGATGATGATTCTGCTGCTGCTGCTGCTGATGGCTGTGATGATGATGGCTGTGTGTGGGCGCATGGGCCAGCTGCTGTGAGTTGCGCTTGCGAGCATTCAGCTCCTTGCCCTGCTCCACGCTGATGAAATCTCCTTCATTCTTGATCAGCAGCGTCTCCACGGTGCTGTCCAGACTCAGAGAAGGCTGTCGGAAGAGAGAGAGAGAGAGAGACAGAGAGGTGAGCTATAGTTAAGCGGCTTGCAGCAAGTACTCATGGTCGGGCGACTCCCATCGGCTCAAGGCTCAAGGCACCCTCAAGGGCTGACTCGTTGACTGATTTGCAACAAAAGTTATTCTTTATCGCACACCTTGAACGGGCGCTGCTCCTGCAAACTGCATTGCGTGTCTGCAGTTGCAAATTTGCACCATTTTTTTCAGCAATTCGTGTCGAGGTAAGCTCTGCGATTCCACCCCAATAAACCGCTCGGCAAGGTCTCTCCACTTCATTCCACTTTGAGCTCTAATGAGGGCCCATACAGGGCACACTTAATGAGCTGCTGCTGGCGCTCCAGCTAATGTTTTTCTGCTCCAAGTCTGTCTTTCAATGTGAGTGTGGCTGGCTGTCTGTCTTTGGGTAATCATTTAGGGCCGCAAACGTATAAATTTCAGCCAGGTTCAATTATCAAGAGGTTCACACGGCCAGGCAAAAACTTTGACCATAAATTACAGCCAGAGTGGTAGGTGGCTGCCTGTTCCACCCACAGACCTGCTCCGAAAATGCTGAAATTAATTTGTATATTTTATTGGCAGGCCTGACAGAGTCTGGCAAAAACTTTGCCCGCAAACGCTAATTAATAATGCCAGTATGTGGAGCGGAGAGCGGAGAGCGGAAAACCCCACACGAAATAAATATTTTAAGTGCCATCGAGGGGAAAGAAAACTTTTCGTTTAAATCTGCTCGATGCTGAGGCGGCGGGCGACACTTTCACTGATGACGACATCAGTGGCAGATTCGATTTCCCCCCGCGTTACACGCGGCGTATGAGTAATATTGCTTCGGTCATGCCGCTGCTGCCTGCTGCTGATGACGTTGCTCTTTTTCCTCCTGCCATTTCCCATTTTTCCCATTACACAAGCACCGAAAATAGTTTCTTTCTTCGTGCATCGTCGAGTGCGTTTCGTTTCTCTGTTTTTTATTTCTGTTTCTGTTTGGGTATTCTTAGCAGCAGATTGCAACGCTTGGTGGCACATGAAAGGAGCTGCCACACGCAGCAAAATAGCCACAAAAGTGGACGAGGGAAGAGTGGAAAAAGTACACAAAAAAGAACACAAGTTCGGGCTGTATACAGTTCACGTGTCAGCAGGAGCTGGGGCAGAACATGTTCCCATAAAAGATTGGCACTTAAAGTGTCTCCCTTCACTGGGTATCCTATCCACCAGTCAGTAGTGCTGCTGGGGAGCTCCCTGTTTTGTGGCTGGAAAAACTACGCCGCAGCGCGCAGCCAATCGTCGAATTGGCCATTAAAAAGGCAAAACAGATCCCGAGGTGTTAGGAAAATGTTGAATGCGAGCGGATCATAAGCGGATCAATTCACGTTAAGTGTAGCAAAATGTTTTCTTTTGGGGTAGCGATTTGATTGTCAAAGGAATGGACGGACTGTTCGGGTCTGGTCTGGTCTACGTGCCAAGTGGCATGGGGCAATAAATAGCCACATTGAAATGTTTCAACAATCCTTGGTGGCAGGTATGTAGCTGGGAATGCAATTCGCTGCTTCGAGTGTTTATCTCTTTGTTTATGCGGAATGCAAATTGCAAATCAAATCGAATCGATGGGAGTAGCCTTCCAGCCAGATGCAACCAGCAGCAGTCTTAGCCTCCAGCTCCAGCCAGCCTTGGCTATGCGAATCGTTTGCATAAATTAGAATTGATATTACAGGAGCGAAGCGGGAGTGTAGCTGCTGCCAGCACTCATTTCACACCCGATCGAATGCCGCACCCCGACCCTCCATCCCCTGGGCTGTTTTGGCCATTGTTTGCCTCGTTTAAAAATACATTTCGTTTTGCTAAATATGTATTAAAAATAATCTCGCACAGACCGCCCGAGCATGCAAATCACTTCTCAGGTTAAGTTTTTTTTTTTTTTTCTGCCATTTTACGCCGTTCTGCGTTCAATCGCCTGTGAAATCCGGCTGAAGGAACGTGTACTGGGGGCAGGTTTGCTCTACTGGCTATTTTCATGCCGCACGATTATTAAAAATCATAAAAAACAGCTACCACAAACAAAACAGAGCCTGTTGGGGGGCCGGTCGAGCGTTTTGGTTTGCCTCAAAAGTTTCGTTTAAATTTCCATACACAAAAATTCCCTTACATTAAACACAAACATTTCCTTGTATACCGCAGATTGATGGACTCTTTGCTGTATAAGTTCTAGCTGCAGGCAAAGCCTTTCCACAGCTCGGCAGCTGCATGTTTCAGGTAAATAACCTGCAGCCTGGAGCAAAACTATTCGAGTGATTATTTTTGGCACTTGGACACTAACCAGAAGTGTACCAAGAATCACACAATATAGCTAGAATATCTCTCTATCTATGCATACTCTTGTGCTTCTGTGTTTATTTATAGCAAAAGGTTTATTTATGGAGAGAGAGAGAGAGAGAGAGAGAGAGTGCAGCAAATGCAGCTCGAATGGGGTCAATGAATTCGTAGGAAGCTCCGGCGTAGGCCATAAATCAGCCAATAAATGACACTTACAAGCCAATTGGCCTTCGGCACAATGATAATGATAATGATAATGACTGCAATGTGAACGAGAGAAGCAGTCCGCCCAGAGACACACTGCCCTCAAAAGCAAACGATTAACCGGGGGGCATGCTTGGGTGGGGCACAATCCGCTCATTAGCGTGCGAAAGGGTTGAGGTGCTGCCCAATTGACTCCTTGACACCACAGGCCAACAATTTCACTTTGTGGCTGAACTTTCTAATATTAAATATTTCGCTGCTGTTGGCTGGGGCTGACCCTGACAGTGCCGTGCCGAGAGTCCACGCAGAGTCAATAACCGATTTGGCCATTTATCATTCAACAAGGCGGAGGCGCCAAAAATTGCTCAAAGTATTGACCTTTGAAGGTTGAGAAATATCAAAGGAAAAACTAACAGCAATCGATGCCACAACTTATGGGTAATTAGTGGTGCGAATCTGCATGGAAGAATGGGCATGGGCAGGTGGGGAGCTCAGCAAGGACACGCCAAAGCGAGGCAAAACATGTTTTGCAGCAGTTGCAAGGCCCAACACAACATGCAACGTCTGTGGCACTGCTCTCCCTCTCTCTGACCACTCAATGTAAAATCAATAGGAAACTAAAACTGAAAGCATGTTTTGCGCTTTGCTGGCGAATGTTTACTTTGAAGGTGAATGGGAGGATGGCTCTGAAGGTGCCTGCCCAAGGTGCGTGCCAGCTAATAATTCGCCAAAGAACTGCCAGTGCCGGTTTGAAGGTAAAACTGATTCCGGAGCTGGCACACACACACACACACACACACACGAACACGCACAAGATTGATGGTGTTGGCGCGGCAATTTATGTAGAAAAGTCCTCTGGGGGAGGGCGGGCAGAAACAGTTACAGTTTACACCTAAATCGAAGCGCAGGGGAGAGGCAGGAAGTTGCCTTCACATTGGAATACTCATTTGTTTCAGCTCGCTATAATTCTCAATCTCTCACTCTCTCTCTGATCTGTTTTTATATACGCTAAGTGCGAGTGTGCACCAGGAAATGCTTTCGCACAGCACATCTACAATCTTTCAGTGCCTACATGGCCCAGTTGGTTCCCTCTCCCTGTGCCTCTTTATGCATCATTTTGTGTACTCAGAACAATGTTGCTAACTCACTGAGGATTACAATGAAATCGTTAAATATCTATATCTATATTTATGGACAGCATCTGCCTTGGTCTGCCTCTATGACAAGTTCTCTTTCTGGCTGGCCGCTGGCGGCCTTTGCTTTTTATGTTTTTATGATGCGATTTAAACAAGTAAATAAATAAAATGAAAACAACCTGTGAGCTGCTGGCAGCCGATAGCTGTGCTGGACTCTATAGACTACTGGGCAACTGTGTCTGTGCCAGCGGTGCCCTTCCCGTTGCGTTCCCTCTCCGTAGTTTATTGTGACAGCTGTCATCTGCCCGAGAGCACGAGATGAATACATTACGTACATTAATACGTACATAAATACATATATTTGTACATAGGCACATCGAGTTGTTCTTTGCCTGTCACTTGCAGCATTTCAATTAGTCATAACCCGTTGTGGGCCAGCTCGTTCTGATTACATTTCAATCGAAGTGGAAATTATGAAATAATAATAACAATAAACCCAACTTTATCCGTGCATAAATCTCTGGGTTAATCAATTTGCGTGTGTGCGGCTGCTATCTGAGGCCCAAGCGGAGCGCAAATTGATTGTCAAATTGACGTCAGAGCTGCGTGGGGTAGGCAGTCGATAAATCTGCAACGCAGGGGCTGCTGTTGTTGTTGTTTTGACAGGATCGAGGCTGCTATCTTATCTCTCTCGCTGCACCAGAGCTCTACTCCTGGCTCGTTGTTAACTCATTAGCAAAATCAATCAACCGGGTTGCCCATCACCCCCGAACCCCGACGGGGATTTACGATGGGTTTATGGGTTTATGTAGTTACCTCCTTGCAGCGCTTCGACAGGCTGCGGCAGATGCGCTTGTAGAAGGGCGCCATGATTCACTTTGAACACTTTGATGGGAATTCTATTGCAGAACGTGCGAACCGGCAATCGAATCTACTTGGTGTGTGTATGTGAGTAGGTGTATAAATTAACTGCGTTTCGATATTGTTCTTGCTGTATGCACAACGCGTTTACATAGCGAACAGATTGCGAGAAGATTAATTGAGCAGAGGAGATTTAATAACTGTAAAAACACGATATGTAATTGATACTGCGCGTTGCGTTTGAAAAGCTTTTTGCGTGTACGTTATGCCAGAGACGATGCTTTGCTTTACCGTTGCTTTGCTTTACTGAATCGATCGCTGCCTGCGCATCGTTTTATGAGCTGCGAACATCGGCCAGAGTGAGAGAGAGATAGCAGATAGATATATTCGGAGAGCAAAAGCGAACAGCGAAATCGAGAGAGCGAGAGTGCACGCAACTTTGAGCAGAGAGAGATAGCGGCAAACAGACAAAACGAAGACGGGGAACAAAAGAGAGTTCTCCGCTTTGCACTAAAATGTGCGGGGGGTATATTTTACAGCTATAATGTACGTACCTGCTGCACAACGATGGTGGCGCGTGGCTGCTTGCAAACCGCAGCCGCCTCCATGGGATTTGCCGTAACATTGATGGGTCCAGCGCCACGCTCCTCCAGCTGAAAGCCGTAATCCTCTTTGGCTCTGCTCTTGTTTGACTTGGTCTTGAAGGAGCGCTTGCGGTTGGTGTCCGTTGGGCTGAGGGTCGACAGCTGACCGGAATCGCTGCCCGGACTGGGCATGTGCAGGTTGAGGGTGGAGGTGGAACCATGCTTGGGCGGGATCTGTTCGAACTTGTTGGCTATGTCGTCGAACTTGTTCAGCTCCGCGTAGGAGTGATCACTGGGCGAGGAGGAGGACTTGGCCTGCGGATAGAAGGCGTCCGATTGCGGCACATACTGCTGGTTCTCCCTGATGGTCGTGTGGATCACCGAGTCTGGTCGTATGCGCTTCGAGTTCTTGCGGGACGGTGGTCGATCCCGATCTCGATCTCTATCCCGCTCCCACTCGCGTTGCTCCTGGTGCAGATGCTGCTGCAGTTGCTCCTGCTGGCTGAGACGCGAGTACTGCTGGAAGATGTCCGCTCCCAGCTTCCGCTCGTACACCGAACGGTTCTCCGCCTCATCCGAGTCGCTGCTGACGCTGCCCGTCGACGAGCTGGGCGCAAAGCATTCCCTCTGGATTCTCTCGTGATCCAGCGCCTCCCGGTCAAAGGGAAACATGGTGCCAGGCGCCGCTGCCAGCTCACGCAGACAGCGCTCGCTGCTGCCGCTGGACGAGCTCGAGGAGTACTTTCGCTGCTGGGCGGCACTCACCGTGGCTGAGGGCGACAGCTGCTGGGGGGTCTGCCGTTGCTTGCCGGAAGAGCTGAAAAAGTGGCCATCCTTCATGGTGGGCGGCGCCGAGCTGACCTTGGCGATGGCCCCCGTCGAGGCGGAGGGTGTCGTTCGCTTCTTATCCCGCTTGGGGCTGTTGCGCCGGCTGTTCGATGGCGATACTCCGGGCGATATGTATGTGCGAGAGGCGTCATTTGCATTTGTGTCACGCTCCCTGGGACGCAGCTTCTTGTTGCGATTGCCGGCGGCAGTTGCCCCGCTGCCGCGTTCGTCATCCTCCTCATCGCCATCACCCTCGCTGGCGGGCACAGTGCGTCCCCCACCAGCACTGTGTACTCCCTCTGCTCCCTTGCCTGCTGCTGCTCCTCCTCCATTAGCTGGCCCCGCGTAGTACGAGTTGTAGCCACGACGCGTCTCTGCCTGCGCCTGGGGCTCGTCCTTGAATGTGAAATGACTGCGAGCCTTTTCGCTGCTGCGCGCCGACTTGGGTGACAGCGGGGGATCGAAGGTGAAGTGGTCCCGCACTCGTGTCGGCGGAGGCGCCGTGCTGGGCTCCCTACGGCTGCTCGGCTGTCGCTCCTCCCTGCGGCTCCCTGGCGAATGGCCACCAGCCGCTTGGCGTCGCTGTGACGAGAGCAGTGGAGTGGTGGACGACTGCTCAGCCGTCAATATGGATAAACAGGATTCCTGGCTCTGCAAGCGCGTGGCACGTTGAACAAATTCGCAAAATAAACAAACAGAAACATGTGTTAGGCCGCAGCAGTGTTGCAAAAGGTTTCAACTTGAGTATTGTAAATCGCGGCAGGCACTTTTCGCTGTTATTAACAGTTTACAGCGCAATTAATGTGAACAAAAAATGGAAATAACACCAAAAGAATCCATCAAATCAGGCAATCCTTACCTCCGTGCTGTCCTGCAGATTCATGTCGGGCCTGGGCGGATAGCGTGAGCAGCTCGTTAGTTCCAGTTCAGTGCCGATGCCGCCGCCGCTGCCGCTCGTCTCGTGCTCAGAATCGATTTGAATGGCGGTGAGCAGCGGCTCCTCCAGTGAACTGAATAGCGGCTCGCTGGGACCCGAGTTGTCGCCTGTTGGCGGCAGCAAAAGATGCAAAAACAGAGGAGAGACACCCAGCAGATTGATTAGTTGATTAATTAACCCGAGCTCTGGGGCCGTCTGGCCGTGGACATCCATCAACCAATCAATACCTACCCAAGTCCAAAGAGTCGCACGTCTCCGAGGTGTCCGTGTGGGTGACGTTCGTGATGAGCGTGGAGGCCGAGTCCGTGGATGTGTTGATGTTGGTGTCCGGTATGGAGGCTGACGATGTGCCCATTACAACCAGCTGCAAGTCAGGCAAGGAATTGCATTAGCATGAGGCACACTCAAAGGGTTACTCCTTGCACACTCACCTTGGGCACTCCACCGCCTGCCACGGCCATGCTGTGCATTCCACTCACAGAATTGTGGTAGGCGCTGGACACGGGATTCAGCGGCAGGCCGTTCAGTGGCGTCGCCGACGAGGATGTCGTCGAGGCATTGATCTTGTTCTTGATGCTGCGACCGCTCTTAAAGTACAGTCGCCGCAGCGCCGTGGCCGTTGATGAGCCCGAAGTGCTGAAGCCATCATTGTCGGAGCCGCTGGAGTTGCTGCCGCCCGAGAAGATCCCACCACCATTCAGGGCTGCCACGACTGCTGCCCGCGTGGCCGTTGGTGTTGATGGCTTCGACCGGGACGCATCGCTGGCGGGTGAAGCGACGACAGACGGCACGTTCCTGTGGCTGGGACGCGGCGAAGCGTTCGGACTGGCTGCGCTCTGGGTGTGGACGGGCGTGGAGGAGCGTTGGACGTTGGAGCTGCCACTGGAGGATGTTTGGCCCAGTGCCAGCGCCATCATGGCAGCGGATCGAGTGCTCATGTAGCAGGCGGGCGGTCGGGATTTGCCGGCAATGGAATTGTTGATGTTGCTGCTGTTGCTTCCCTGTGCTGCATTTGTTACAGACGCCGTCATGGCTGCGAGAGACCAAGCAAGAGGATGTTTAAGTCAAGGATTCCCTCAGAGATTGCTTCCGTTTGGCAGCTGACCTCACCGCCGCCTATACCTGTCGCTCATCAAAGGCCGCAAAATCAACTGAATTGGCCACAAGAATAGTCAGCGGATTGCACCCCCACCAGCCCTCAGCCCGGGGCACTAAATCAACAAATAAAATCGATAAACTATAGCGTGACAGCGGCGCCTCCACCCCATTTGTAGCTCACATGTTGCGCCATTAAGTGACTCAGTTCCCAGTTCCCAGTTCCCAAGTCCCAGTAGGGGTTGCTCGAGTGGCTCTGTGGCTGGCAATTTCCGCTGGGGACTTTCCCCATTCCCAGATTCTGGGGGTTGTGGCAGATTTTTGCACGTAAACACAAAGCTAAATTTACGTGGAAACAAAGCCAACAATCAAACATCAGCCATTGAGATAATAATAATAATAATAATCGAATTCCCTTGGCCACAATTAATTGAGCGGGAAGTGGACGTCGGCAGAGCATGGACTGTACCGCTGTCTGGCTCGTCCGGCCCGTCGTCTCCTGTTGTTGTTTGAACAATGAACATTCCGTAATAGATTTTTCAATAGAAAGCGAGGGTAAGTATTCCCCCATCACTAATTTATTTATTTATTTATTTATAATTTTTGTGCAATATTTTAGGTCGGAGAGAAATGGCAAATGGAAAAGCAAACTTTTGGCTATCCACTCGCCTGTTTTTGGCTCCTTCTTCGACTGTTTTGGCTCCATTTGGTTAACCCAAATTCCATGCAAAAAGTATCCCGCATCGTCTGTCAAAGGTCAAGCAACTCGAGCGCCCCACAAAAAGAGGTCGTCTGTGGCCCACAAATCGTTGAAAGTTTGACAGCGGCCGGAAATGATATGCCCAGCAGTCATTTGCATATTTTTTGCTGTACATTATTTACGCGAATGTCGCGGAAAGTGTGTCAACTATCAGGCCAGGGACAACTTGGGTACGTACCTTTGGAGCTCCTCCTGGACGTGGCTGGGGCTGGTGCAGCTGTTATAGGCGCCCCCGAGGCTGAGGTGGCGGCGCGCGCTGGACTGCTGTCGCGAAAGATGGGAGAGCCGGGCACATAGCGGTCAGGCTGTAAAAACAAGTGAAAGGTTTTCGCTTAATTACAGTTCTAAAGAAGAATTCTTTATCGATGTTAGTACGATAAGATATCACGGTACAGGGCTTCGTGGCAAGTCTGTTTATTGTGTGTCGCTTTTGTACAAACATCCGTCAAGTTGTCAGCAGTCTTGTTGGACAGCAATCGAACTTCGCTCAGTCAAGTGGCAAACGTTAACGGCAACGCGTAACCATCGTCCCGTCAGCCGAGACGCCTCCAACTGTCAGTGTCCATAAGAACCAATAGAAGTCAAAGCATCGCGTTGACGGCATGGAAATGATGTCTGCAGTGTCGCAAATCCCACTACGGATGGTTCTCTACGTCGCCTTACTGTCGCTGGGCATCACAAATGGTTTGTCTGTCCGCAGGGTTTCCCCAAAAAGCAAAACCCATCATCATCCCACTCATCATCAGTCTCGAGTGCCTTCCCACTTGGCAGCTCATTTTCTGCTTAACTTAATTAGCTCTTTTATGGCGAAATGTAGTGCTCATAACGAGTCATACGTCTCAGTCTCTGTTTTCCCCCCGCATTTTCAGGTACATTTTGAAATGTTCTTGGCATGGATGTGATCTGGCCAGGGACCTCCAATTGATTCAACAGAACTTTAGACCATTCAATTTCTATTCTTACATTTTTTTTGGTTGAAAAATTGTGAGCGTTTTCAGTTTATTTCTTTTCTGGTCTGCCTTTTGCTGTTCTTGTTCGCCTTTCAGCTGTCTACGTCACTCGCCAGTGACCGCATTCAAAATTTATTGATTGCCACACACAAAAAGATGATACAAATCATTTCCCAAAGATCTGTGCAGAGCGCAAAGTTGTTTGCTATTCGGTGTACAGCGCAGCAGGGTGAATTTACTTGCAAGGTGACGTCTTTCAGTATGCATGAAAACAATAACAGGCGCTAGTCTCTCTTAGGGCCGAGAGAGCGTTGTTCAACACTCTATTGGTCCACGACTTCACCTTCTTAGTGAATTCCCCTTGCAGCTGAATAGTGTCTGTGTCTATTATTCGAAGGGCATAATAAGCAACAACCTGCATTTATTTAGCTAATATTTGACACTATCTACTGCAAATATCATTTGTTCCTTTGCGACATTTATCTACTGCAAACATCACAAAATCATTACACAAATGGGCACCAACTATGACTGTTATAATTCTGATACAATTCTCTATCTTTTCGACTACCGCGAATCCGCCAGCAAAGCGTGCCAAGAATCAAATTTTATGCAGAATTCAAAATGCAAAATCGCGACAGAAATAGCAGCGAGATGAGGGGCCAACGCAATTCTTGGTAATTGTGGAGGCTTTTGATTTTGAAGGCGATCTTTCTTTTTTGTTAGGAGAACATTTGGCCAGAGTGTGATGCCAAGAGTCTCGTGTCATCGGTCCGTTTACACATGGTCGGTCCACTCTCTGTGGGGTGTTGGGGGCTGTTGCCCATTGACGTCATTGTTATTACACAAAAAAGGCATATACAAATTTAGAATAGATCTGTGGGGTTGTGCGGGGTGTACGGGGTACGGGTGGGGGTACGGGCGATACATGTCGAGGACGTTGTCGTGCCACTTGGCAAATAGACAGAAAGTCTGCTGCCAAAATTTCTCACTTTAATTCAATTAATTATTGTATTTTTATAGATAGATGCTGTGGATGTTTGTTGTTGTTGCGGCCGCTTGGGGGCTATTAATAAATTCTAAGAAAAGCACAGCGACAACATGCAGCAAATGATGAACGTGATGATCATCATTAAAATCATATTGAGAAAACAACAACAAACCGAAAGCGAAAGGCAACGCAGGCGAGCGTCATGACCTCGTTCAATATTTCTCAGCTCTTTCGCTGCTGTCGCTATCTCTCTCTATCTATCGCTCTCTGCTGTACTCACGCTGTTCTAAGCTCTCTTTATGCTCTCCTTCTTCCTGCAGCACTCGACTGTTATATTTGCACGTATTTGGACGGCTACAGTGATGACTCCTGTGTGACCAACGCCAGCTCTGTCAAGGTTCTCAACTGCAGCACGAAATACTGCCTCACGATGCGCCAGGAGTCGATTGTAAGTATGTAGATTACACTGAGCAAAAGAAAAGTGGTGCTTAACCCTTCCCTGTTTAGCCTTTTGATCAACATATTTATGCAAAGTTCTTGCCAAAAAGCTAGCTAAATTCTCATCTCTAGTCACGGCAACGTGCTGGTAGCTGCCGCTTTTTCTCAAGTGTGTTTCCTGCTCCAAAATGCTCATAAAAAGTCGCTGCGGAACGTGCCGCAAATGTTTGCAGACTTGCCACGGCTATGGCCAGGCGTTTAACTCTACGCTATACGTATGCGGGCAGCACCCGCAACTGGGAGCCACACTCCCAGTTGTTGTTGGCTACAAAGTGGGACATGGCATGCCTGGTTTTTATGCAGACCTACAACCTTTGTGCGCGCAACTTTGTTTGCCAAAATGTTGCCATAGCCGAGAAAGTTTCCGCCCACTACCCCCCCTCTCGAAATTAGCGAATCGCACGTAGAGCGCGGTACAACGAAATAAAAGGCGACCATTAACTAACTGCTTTTAGTGGCAGAGCAGAGCAGAAGAGAGCGGAGCAGTGAAGAGAAGAGAGCGGAACAGTGGTGAAGAGAGTGGAGCAGAACATAACGGAACATAGCAGTGAGGAGCAAAGCAGATCAGAGCAAAACAGAGTTATGTCTGAAACTAACAACTAATTGAATTCCTTGCTGTACTCTCGGCATATGTGCATCTGCCTGTGGGCGCCCAGAAGTGTCTGCTGCAAAGTCTGCCACTTGACGCCAGAGCCCCCCCTTCGTGTGGAGCGCTCATCCTGGATTGTTTTTTCACGCTATTGAAAGCTTTTTCCACGCTTTCATTTCACACTGTAAGCAGCTGAAATCAAACACACAAAAGAGCGAGAGAAAACACGGCAGGCAAACCAAAAAACAGACTGCATAAAAAATCCATTACCATAATTTAATGGAAAGCCAGAAAGGCGTACAAAAAGCTACCGCCCACACACAGGCAAACGAGCCAGCGACAGCCATAGGAGTGTCTGGGACTAGGACAGGGGCTGACACTGGGTCTGGGGCTTAGACTGGCTTACATGGCACCCCACAAAGTCAACGTAAAGTCTCTACGCGTCTCCGCCTCCTCTGTGTGTTTGCATAACCAGATGAGTTTTAAAATTTGCAGGCGCCTCATTAGATGGGCCCAAAAATTGCTGATTCAATTTAGAGCGGCATCAAAGACGCTTGGCCTAGCGGGGATTAGACGGCGAGTGCTCAGAGCTCGGAGCTTGGATGCCATATGTGTATGAGCCATGCAGTTGGTTGGCAATTAAAACTTTGTTCCCTGGTGTGGAAGAAAGAAGAAACTCTCATTTAAATTCCATTCATGGCATAGTTTGGAATTTATTCATTCCATTCGTATAGTTCCATTTCAAGTGGCTGCCTAATTGTGATGAATGCCCAGGCAATAATATCGTTAATCAGACACTCGAAAAGTTGGACCAATATTTCGTTCTCCCATTCTCCCTGTTCTTACAGCGCAATGCGAGCAAAGTGATATCCTTTCTACGTGACTGCCAGGATAAACCCATGGTGAGTGGAACTACTGACCCTTTGGCCCGAACCCTTTCTCTATTTATTGATCCACATTTGACAGCTGCCGAATGGCAACACGCCGGATGGCTCCTTCCGCACCTACTACAGCTCCTGCCAGCAGAATCTCTGCAATGGACACAATGGACGCATCAAGAACTCGACGGGTGGCGCAGCTAGCAGTGGCAGCGGCATCCACAATGCCATTGTGCCCGGCAAGAATACGGGCCACAGCAGCAGCCATGGCAACGGCCAGGCATTCGCATTTGCATTCGGCTTGGGCCTATTCCTTCTGTTGGCCAAACGCCTACGATGCTGCCTGCCACAGCTGTAAGGAGGAGTGAGGGACAAGGACGACTTCAAACTCAATCAGTGTGCTGGGCATTTTGTGTCTCCTCTCGGTGTGCAATTAAACTGCTTTTAGTAGGCCCACCCCCCGGCTGCCGGCCACTAATTAGTATGGCCCGAGTGCTGTAATAACCTTTGACAGCCACCGAAACTTTTGCGTGTGGTTTTGTGCAGTTTATTGACATGGCAGCCCGAAGCCCGAAGCCCGAAGGCTGAAGCTGAAGGCAAAACCGCAGGCCACGTTGGTAATTGCAGCGACCGCCAGGCAGGCTCTTAGGCCTCTGTACAGCTTCCGGCATGTCCACGTCCCTCACCAGAATCCAATCATAAATATATGTATGTAAATATGTATTTGTTGTCCAGCTAACAGCACTTTCGTGTGCCACTAATTGTATTTTGTCTAATGGTCAAGCAATGAAACACGAAAACATTTCAATGCAAATGCCTGTGAAAAATATGCAAAAATATTAGCAGAAGGTTGTGGCAACTAAGGATATATAAAACGTATAGTAGGGGAGTCTCTCTCCTACTCAAATTTGACATTTTGCCGTATTTGGTCTTCGCTCCAATAAATCACAGAATTTTTGCCCAGTCCTTGTCTATGTTAGAGCTAGTGTAAACATGCACATACAGTGCGTCAGGCAAGTATTCTCACAAGGCAAACAGCCAAGGATTTGAAGTAAATTATTGCCTGGCAGCAGCTAATGGAAACATCAACTTCAAATGCAAAAGAAAAATGTTCTTTGCTGGGTGCGCACACTTCTCGCACTCACTGTACGTGTAGCTTGTGTTTGTTTGGTCTTTACGCCTTAAAGTTGACTCCCGACTGTGTTCCATGAATTTTCTCCCACACGTTTTGACACGCCAAAAACAATCAAACCAGGAAACAACAACAACTGGAACATGAAAAGTGACCTGACACGCCCCGTTTAACGCCCACAGCTAGTACATTTTGTTGCTAGTGGAATTTCATTTTCGTGGCAACAAAGTTTAAACGGGTCTCTAGGGATGCATGTGGCATAGGTATGGCTGGAAATGCTTAAACCAATCCATCCAGTTTCAGCTGAATGAACTCCTAAAGCGGCAGAGACATGAAGAGAATGCTGAATACAGAAGAGCAAAATAAAGAGCAGAAAGCAACAGAGTTATGTACCTGCACCCCCCCCAGCCGCAATATTAAATATTCACTAATTGAAATGTTGTCAGCGGGAGGAGGAGGAGGAGGAGGAGAAGGAGAAGGAGAAGAAACAACAGCAATAAGAGGACCAGCAGCAGGAGCAGCAGCATCCAACCATGCAAACAATTATTTTTAATTTATAAATTAATGCAAACATCTCTCCCGCCAAGCAAGCAACCATCCTTCCAGGTGCTGCATACTTAAGAATTTTTACTCGACAAATATTGACTTGATCCCAATTGCGAGTTGTTAGCCGAAAAGTAAGGAAAAGTTGAAAGCATTCCTTCAGTCGCCGTGCCCCCACTGAGGCGTGTGGGCTTGCCGCTCACTTGACAGTTGGCCACCGTCACAGCGGGCCATAAACAATGGAGTCCCCAACCAGAAATGGGTGATGGCGTGGTTCACTTTGTTCTTATTTACAGCTCACCAGACCCCACTGTGAGCTGAGGGAATTTTCTTCAAAGAAAAAGCAGCCGAAAGGGCAGCAGTCGCAGCTGCAGATACTCTTTCAGAGGGTTAGGCTTTGGTTGGACTTTCCACTGCTTGATTCTTGCACTGGCAAGCAGTTGAACCGATTCGAATTACCCTCTGGCAGTGCATCCGAAAAGCAAGGTGTGCACTGGCAGACATCATTGTAAATTTACTCGACTCGAAATGGGAACGCCGTCAGATAAACGCTGACAGTTTTGGATGGCTGGATGGGGGGGATTTTGTGTCCACATTTCTGAGTCAGCGGGTTGTCTGCGTCTGGCTGTGGGGCGGCTATAGAAAATAGTTCGAGTCCGCTTGTGATTCCCTTGGTCTGGTTATTGCCAATTCACAGTCCCCCGCCATTGGCTGCCTTTGGCCCAGCCCCAGATCCAGCTCCGGGAGTTCCATCCTCGGTGCATTGAACCCCCCCACACAGCACACACAGCACACAGCACAGAGCAGTCTGGACAGCTGACTGTGTGTCTGCTGGGTTCTTGGTATCATTTCGCATCGTTCTGGTCGTTGCGTTTCCCTCTTCTGGGAAATGAATGAAAATAAATGGCACAAAGCGAAATGTGAAATGCGTGCCGGAAACTATGGCAGGGTGGAAAAAACCCTTTCTCTTGTCGGCTATGGGATGATTTCCCATTATTATAATGGCAGTGCACACCGGATAGACAGAGTCAAAGGACAGTCCCACTCTCAGTTACAGTCGCAGTCCGCACTTACAGTCGCAGTCCACAATTACAGTCACACCTGCAGCTGCCTGTGTTTTGGGCTGTGCCTGGGCCACTGCCCTATCATTTTTTGTATAGCGAATTTTCGAGTAAAAGGCAGATCCTCACATGAATAAGTAAACATTCACCACCATCAAAAGTAAGTGCCCCCCGAGTATGTGTTATAAAAATCATTTTGACAAAATTTCGCCATAACAATAATACGAAATAAAATGAAAAAAATTCAATCCAGAACAACAGCAGGAATAATCGAAAAATAAGATAAAGCCAGGCGGAAGGCGAAGGCGGAACCAGGCAGCGTGAAAGTCGCTTGATTTATGCCCTTCGCTCTCTCCGCTCTTCGTTCTGCTCTCTTCGCTCTGCTCTCTTCGCTCAACGCTTTGCTCTCTCCATTACCTGCGCTACCGACAATCACAGCAGTAGAGTGTACGGCGGCGGCTGCAGCGACGACCTAGGAAATGTGGAGCACGTTTCGGGAGCGCAAGTGGGCGTGGCAGCTGCCAGGAGGCAATGGACGTGCCTCCATGCCATGCCATGCCATGCCATCTTTGCATAATATTTATATACAATTTCCTCATTTGTTATTTTTATTTGAATTTCTCCCTGTTTGTGCTATCAATGAATAAAATATGAAGCGGGTCGGGTCGAGCAAATTGCAATTAAATAATTAAAATCAAGACAATGAAAACCGCAAAGCTGTGCATTTGATGTATGCATAGAGCTACATATATGTACACACATACATATTTACATATGTATTTACATATGCACATTGCTCACCGTTTTTTGCCACACAAAAAGGTTATTGATGAGCACTTTGGCCTATTTTATCAAAATCAAAAACGACACAGCAACGTCACCGCCGGGCAGCCCTCTGTTTGCTGGCAACTGAAGCGTGAAATGTGGCCCGACACTGGCGGGCAACGCGCCAGCCAGCATACATTAAATCTTGCGAAAGTTTAGCAACAGTTCTCCCCATCCCTCTGTGCTTAGCACACCTCAGCGCGGTGCAGGGGCCGAATGCTTGGGCTTATATTAGACTTTTGGCAAGTGGCTAGACGACAAATGACGACTGATCGAGCAGCCAGAGCTCCCTCCCCCTTGGACTGCTCCCTGTCGGGCACAAGGCGTGGGCGAAGATGCTTCCAGGAAATCCCCATGATTCACTTGGGGCTGCTGTCGCCGCCGGCTGGGATTCAGTCACTCAAATCGCTGCAGGAATGAGCGGGAAATGCCAGGAATGCCAAAATATTGATGAAAGTCAAGCCGAGGCTCTTAGCCGTGCCAATGCGGCAGATATGAGAACATCAAGGAAAATGTCGAAAATATGTACAAACTTATGTATACATTATACTTATGTACATACGATTGTAATTTCATATCTACTGTACTCCCCAGTATGTGCCTGAGTGAGTGTGGCAACAAAAGATCACCCGCTGAATGAGCAGACACATTTATTTGTTGCCATTGCCTCATCTTGACAATCAATTAATTTTCCCCCAGCCTCTGCCCGCTGCTGTCGACAAAGGAAAGTGGCGTCGCGGGCGCTAATTGTTTTTAATGCAAAATGGCAAAAGGATTTAATAGGGGAGAGCATTAAGAATGGATTTTTAAAACCATTTCAATTATGCCATAAGTTTGCCATCAATCTGCCTGCCCCTCCTCCCCCCACCACTACTTCGGGCGTTCCAATGACGTCAAAGATTGCAACACTCTGCAGCTCTTCAGCGAGTGCATCCCATTCCGAATCCCCTCCAATCTCCGACAGCTTTGTCTGCGCCAAAGTTCACTGACACTTTCATGAGGTTTTTTCTTGGCTCTCGATAAAAATAGTTTTTCTTTTACTTACATTTTCGCGGGCGACCGAGTGGAAGTCCGCTTTCTGTGCATTTGGCCACATTCATTTGGAGTAAACGGCAAAATCCACTCAACTAAAATGTGGCCTAGAGTAATCAAGCAACTAGTAATTAAAACTGCAAAAATAGTCACAGGCACCACATTCATATTTATGAAACATAAATATAGACTACCCAAAACAGCCATAAAACAAATACAAAAACAAAAAGGAGGTTAACCAATTTGTTCGCTTGCGGCTGGGAGTGACAACAAAAGGAGGTGGCGGCTGTGGAGGCTTTTTAAAAATGAGTTTCCGTATTTCATTCAGCCAACCATTCCCAACCACATTGCATTTTCCATAAATATATATTTTCCAACATTTCTCTTTTCATTATTCGCACTCTCAAAACTGAGTCAATGCAATGCGTGGGCTGTGCGTTGCAGCTGCAGCGCCGAAAATACATTTTCAAAAATGTCACAGCAAAATGTGTTAGAAATTTCTGCTGCCCCCTGCTGTTAGCGTGGGTGGCCGATGGCCAAATTGCAAGGAGTCAATGCGCTCATCAAGCCAACTATTTCAACCAAAAGAAGTGAAAGCCAAAATCAATCATGCAGGCAGGCAGGAGGCGCAGACAGTTGTCGATCGAAGAAGTTCAGGGTTCTGCCCAGTTCAACAATAGTTCTGCTTAACGAGAAAACAATAAATAAATAAAATATTCCCACCGGACAGACAACAAGCCGTGTGACGTTTTTGTGGCTAATTTTCATTGCCTCTAGCGGGTGCGCGCGTCCTTCAGGGCACTTGCCAAATATCGGCGCTAATTTGTCAACAGCTCGGCAGCAAAACAAACTGAGCAAAACAATGTGCATAAATATATATTCAATATATTGGCAAAAGAATATACCAGAACCACTATAATATTGCTGCCGGAACACAATCGAAATTGCAACAGATTGAGGAGCAGACAGGCGATACGCTGCATCAGCTGTAAGCAGCCAAGTTGGAGAGTGCTTCGGGCATGACTCTTGGCTCGTGCCTAGGGGCACGCACTTGAGAAAGTTTGTTACTTTCAGTTTTATTCCACCCATTGAGCACACCGCACTTTTGGGCCAAGTGGCGGGCAAGGCAACTCTGTTGGCTGACTTTTCAATTTTTGCACAAATACTTTAAAGCTGCTGCAGCCTCTATTCCTGCTGTGCCTTAATTCAATTATATTCGCCGCTTGGGCTTGGGCAAACTTCGTTTGGGCGGCACTAAAAGCCTGAAATAGGATTAAGCAAAAGGAAATGCATTCAAGTGTGGCAGCCAGCAGCAAGCAGCAAGCAGCGGAAAGCCTTAAATCGAATTTATTTCCTTTAAAAATACTCGTTTAAAAATACCCGCAAAAAGGAACACTCCAGTGTAGGGTAATTATTACATTTCTCCACCCCTGCTACATATACACCTTTGTCAAGGCAACCCTGACTATTGCTGTCGATTTTGCGGCGCAGTCAGCTCTGACTTTTTATTCAGGCTCGATTGGAGAAGGCTTCGAGCTTCCGTCTGAACATCCGAGCAGTCATTCTTTCGAAAGTTGTGCCAGCGAGCGGAGCTCATGTAAAGTGAAAAGTCAAAAATAAAAATTCAAATTCCTCTCTCAGAGTCGTTGTGTGAGACGTGTCCAGTAAAATACAACTACAACTGCATTCATTACGCAGCGTGTCTACCAATACCCCCCCCAACCGCGTTCTCGAGTTCATTCACACACACAGTTCAACATTTTAAAGTGAAAAATTCCGCAATTGTCGCACACACACGCACACACACACACACATAAACAGGCAAACGAAATAGCGAAAAAGCGAACGCCGGCTGTGTGAGCTGACTTGCCGCGGAAGGGAAGAAAAGGAAGAGCGAGAAGGAGCAAAGTAAGTTCTAGAAGCAGCAAAGAAGAGACGAAAAAATGGTCAACGAATCGAAGCCCACTGTGCCCAAGCCCAGCACCAAGGAGGTGGAGTGCCAGTCATCCGACTGCGAGAACTCCTGCGCCATGCCGGAGCAGCCGCTGGTCATCTCCCCGAAGGGCGCTCGTGTGGGTATCTTCAATGCCGAGGACTTCTTGTCGCGCGCTCAGATGAATGATAAAATCAACAACATTCTGCGCTCGCCCACCAAGCCGGCCAACGGTGTGCGCCAGCGCTCTGTCTACACCAACAATCCATCGCCGGTGAGTGAAAATTGCTAGTAATAATATGAACATTTTTTCCTTCTCTTCTTTTTTTCTCATATACCAAAACTTGCTTGTCATAAATGAAGAACTTTCTCTTCTCTTCTTTCTTTTCTTATTCCAAAATGGTGCGTCATTTGGCCAGCAGGCTAACAGCCGTCGGCGCAGCTGCAGTGTCTTAACAGACGCCGCCTCAGCAGGCGTCAGCGTAGCGGCAGTGTTTTAACAGCTGCCGGCGCAGCTGCAGTGTCTTAACAGACGCCGCCGCAGCAGGCGTCTGCGCAGCGTCAGTGTCTTAACAGCGGAATTTGTCTTATAGCCGCAAGAGCAGTGTATTAACAGCTCGTTAACAGTGGAATCTGTCTTATAGCCGCAGTCGCAGCTGGCAGAGCTCGATGGCAGAGCGGCATTGACAGGTCACACTCGTTTCACTCTCTTCTTTCGTTTCTTCCATGTTTCCCATCTCGCTCTAATCTGTGCATTTTCACTTCATATTTTAAACCCTTTAACCACTTTTCTGCTATTCTAATAACATTTAACATATTTATGTGGCTTTTTTGCATGTTATATAACAGAGTTGTATAACAGAGTGTCAATATTCTGTTGTTGGCAATTATTTCACCACGTCACTCGATTACTCTGCTGCTGTTCCACTTCCGCTCGTTTCAATCGTTCTCTCTCCTCCAAGCCTCTCTCTTTTCCCTCCGCTAACCTTCGCTGCTCCCTCTCGCCTTCTCATCCTCATCCACCCACAGCAGGCCAGCATGCGCATTGGCATGACGGGCGGACAGCTGTCGCAGCGCGTCAGCAACCTCTCGCTATCCTCCGGCGGTTGCCGCATGGAACAACTCGTCAGCGTCAGCGGCAGCGGCAGCAGCAGCAGCCTCACTGGCAGCGCCAGCGCCAGCGCCAGCGTCGGCACCAACACCACCGGCAACGGGTTGGTCAACGATCCAGCCTTTGCTTATCAGAGCGGCAGCCAGTCGGCCCGTCAATACGTGCACTCGCCCGGCACACACCTGCCCAAGCAGCCGCAGTACTCGGCTAGCAATTTGCAGGGAATGGAGGCTGCTGGCAACGTGTCGCGCAGCGGTAAGGCACTCACCGCACGCCATCACACCCCGTCCAGCTATGGCTTCGAGGGTGAGCAGATGTATGGTCAGGTGAGTGAAGCACTTCCTAGCTCAAGGTATGCAGCCACAACTGTAATCCGTTGCAGGCCAAGGGTCAATTGGCGCCCCCAATGCCGCCACCACCCTACGCCCTGGGTCGCTGGAGCAGCACACGCCTCTTCAAGTTCGAGAACAACTCACCGCCGCCATTTCCCGGCTCTGGCCCCATGGCCATGTCGAATGGCACCATACAGTTGCGCCTGCGCGATGGAGTGCGGTGAGTGTGCAGTAACTGAACCTTTGGCCTTCTTGAGATGACTTCTTGCTTGCAGCATTGACATGACTCTGGACAAGGCGGTGCGCGTGCTCAATCAGCGCAGCATGGTGGCAGTTGCTTTATCGCGCAACACCAGCAACTCGGCCATGATCCATCCGAACGGACGCATCTTGCAGAGCGGCTCCAAGGTCGAAATTGTCACCTACGACGGCATGAAGGGCAACAATTTTGTGTGCGTACAAAAGAGTGTACCAATTTCAATGCTCCTAATCCTAAACCCTTTTGCAGTCGCTATGCCAAGATGTGGTACAAGGGTGTGAGCTTCACCAGCGAGTCGTGTGCGCTCATCTACATGGTGGACACGGCCGGTACGCGCACCACAACCGACACTTTCACCGATCTGACCAAGGACTACACACTGGCAGTGTTCTATGAGTGAGTAACTGGAGCCCCAGGCAGAGTGTTTATGTAAATCCCGACTTGTCCCCACCAGCGACTCTCGCCATGGTCCCTCTTATGTGGCTGAAGCCCACGAAGTGATTGCCAATGCGTCTTACAGCTATGCCGAGGATGGCACCGAGATCTATGACATCAACGGATTTCGCATCACCCAGGCAGCCGATGGCCTGGTGAAGGTCACACGCGTCTACAACAAGTGCCTGATCCGCACCAGTCCTGGCAATGGATCGGCCACTTTGACCACACCGGGCATCCATTGCACCGCCTCTCTGGGCAAGACTTCGCATCTGTTTGTGCGGTAGGTTTCTGCACTGCTTGCACCAGGCACCACTGCTTGCTTCTAACTGCGTTCTCCTCCTCATTTTGCAGTCGCAACGAGAAGCGCATGCACTTTGATGGTTCCTGTTTCATTGTGCGCAACGCTGGCCACTCCGCTGGCTTCAATGAGAACAATTTGCTCATTGTCTACTGAGGAACATGCACTCACACAACACACACAACACACAACACACACACACACACACACACACAGATCTAAAGCAGCACATTTGAGGGACCTTGACGTGGAGAGGGATTCAGTTAGCAACGAGGCCCCAACTTTAGGATAAACAAAAAGGAATCGCAAGTGCATTTCGGATAAATAAGTTAGTGAAAACAGTCTGGGTGCCAATTCGCTCGACCTCAACCCCAACAACACATAGGAAGTGCGTTAATTAATTGTGTTAGCTATAGTTTCATGCATAGATATAGAGATTAATCCGTAGAGCAAAAGGATAACCCAGTCAGGCCAAAGCCAAAACCAAAACCCCGCAGCAAAATATCATTTCGTTTGCAGGTGCTCTGAAATGTTTTTAGCTCTAAATTAACATAGAAAAAACACACACAAAACACACAGATTTAGCAACGTGTTTTCTGTTTGTCAACAATTAGAGAGAAAAGTTCTCTGCGGCGTTACGTTGAGGCAAACGTAACGCCCGTGTCGTCGTTTCATTATTTCTCATTTTAGAGCTTGGCAGCTGTTAGCAATCCAATCCCAAGCATGTTCATCCGCAGCCGTACCACACACACCACACACAATTGAAAGAATCAGAAAAACACAGAGAAAGATAGGAATAGATGCACAAAGTGAGCGTCCCATTTGTAAATTAGTCTGTGCGACACACAACTCCTGCTGTCTTGAGGACAAATGCACACAAAACACAAGCCTTAAATGTACACAACACACACAACACACACACACACACACACGGAATTAAGTGCATTCAAATGCAGCCCATCAACGTTAACAGTTAAGCCCAGTGTGAAGCAACGTGCCTTAAGCCCTACGACCGACCATCTCCAACACTCAAAATTGTGCATATCATGTAAGAGAAATGAGAGAAATTCGTGTGCTCGCCTCGCTCCCTAAATCAATACGAAAGAAGTATAATAATAAATTGAAAATGCTGACGGCGGTGCCAGAGGAGGCGGCACCCCTCCAGCCGTCTGCTAATTTCTGCCAGTAAAGAAAATGTCAAGTGCCGACGAGTATTCATTTATTTGTGTATGTGCCTCTGTGTGCTGTACCTGCCTGTCATGCGGCACAGGGCCGGGCCGTTGGGGGAACATCGTTAATTTACAACAAAATTGTTTTATGGCCGACACTCCTCGGGCGGCCCTAGACGAAGGTTCGTTTCGCTTTTGGTTTTGTCAGCTTTAAGTGTGTGCTTCGAGATGTATTTCTGAATACCTGAAGCTCTGCAGATGTAAAAGTTGGATGGGAATGTGGAGAGGCCCAATTCAAGCAGTTTTAAGCACTGCTTTACCACACGCAGCTGTGTGCATGGCCAGTGTAGGGGGAGCAAAAAAGTGCACAGAAGAGACATACTTTTTGTGTGGGGGGTTGAGCCTTTTTCACTCGGTCGTTTCTTTACCTGCAAACAAATCCAAAAGCACAGGGATATCGGATCGGCTGTCATGCAGACTAAAGTTTCCAACAAACTGAAACGGTGGAGAAACGCCAGCTGCAGCACTGCTTGCTCTGGCTCTGGCTCTGGCTCTGGCTGTGGCTGTTGGTAAAGATTATTGGATAATGTCTTGCTTTTGGCGAAACTATCAGCCACGTCTGCCTCTGTCATAAGAAGAAAGTTTGTACCATGGTTAGAGAGAGAGAGAGAGAGGCAAAGTGAGTGATTGAAAGCGTGGAGCGAGGATTGAGCGGTGGTGCGGATACAGATACAGCAAGCAGCATAGTCCAGAGTGTGTGTGTGTGTGTGTGTGTGTGTCTATCTAATAGCTTTACTCAAGTGTAAGTCGAACCCCTGGGAACAAAAGCGAACCGCATAGCACACACATGGCATAAAGCATATTCAATGCTGCCACAGGAGACAGGAGACAGGAGGCAGTGGACTCCAACATCAAACGCTTTTCACACTTAATTGGGCGTAAAATTAAATCAGAATTGATTAGAACACTTGAATGACAACAGGCCCTGCCACTCCGCCCACATTCTCAGCATAAACAAACTTTTTGGTTTTCATTTTAGCAGCTGACGCACGGCAGCCAGGCACGTCGCCGACTTTGGGCCACGTTCGAATCCAGCGCACTAATTGCTGCCAGCAAAAGCAACTTCCCAGCTCCCTCCCTGCTCGACGGAAACTTTATGAAATTCAATTTCTCCTCCCAAGACAATTTTGCAGCATTATCGTTTAATGAGGCGACAATTATGCCCCCAAACTGCAGCGGCATTCGCACAGACATTCAATCAACTTTTGTCCATAGTTCGTACTCGGAACTCGAGTTCATTTCGCATGCATTTGGGCCTGGCCAAGCGGCAAATCAATTCGATTTCCGGCCTGAACAGAGTCCTGGCCAGGGATAATTACATTTTAACCAGCAGAGAGTGGAGTGGATGCAATGAAAGGCTGCCACTTAAAGGTGCTAAAAAAACGAATGCGAATGCGAATCGAAAGGAGCAGCAGGGCACAGGGCCACACTGAGTGCAATCAGCAATCAAATCAATCAAACACCAGCCGGAGCAGTGGATTGGATCAGGCAGATCAAAGTGTAGCCCAACACGATGAGAAAATGTCAACCCTGAGAGCTGAGAGAATTTGTGGCAAAAAGTTAAGCTACAAATTGGCGGTGAAAATTGGGCCAAAACTTGTGGCACTTGTGAAAATGCGACTGACTCGAAGTCCAGAGTAATTGCAATCGAGATTCCCCCCCAACTAATGCAGAACAATATTGTGTCAACATGATTATAATTGAGTTTAATTGAGCCGCAAAAGTAAGTCCAAAGCCAAAGAGGGGCGAGATATGTAAAATATTTTGCCATAATCCATAAACAGACGGAATAGATGGTGGAGATGGAGGTGCGCTACCAAAGGCTTTTCTAATGCTCGTTTTTTTTGGCTGGTTAGGCTGGAGCCAAAGTCCCAGCCCTGCCTCTGGTCCTGGCTCTGCTCCTGCCTCCATCCATTGCCTGTCATTGCTGTCAGCTGGCGTTGCCGGGGCAGGCCCTTAATTAAGTTGCCGCCGCTCTACCAAAATGCTCATTATTTCCCATTGCAAGACATTGCCGCGTTCAGTTGGTCTTCATTTGAAGTGGGTTTCCAGTTCCACGCCCACATTCAATTAACAACTTCATACCAATTGACGATTTAATTAAGTCTAATGCTTAAATGTTGTTTTTTGGTGGGCTCACCTTTTCCCCCTTGCCAATGTGTTGATATGCAAATCGAAGGTCAACAAGTTTTGGTTTGGGTATCAATCTGCCAAATAAATTTAATGAGCAAAACAAAAGTAAATTAAAATTTGCACAAAACCCACAGTAAGCCAGAATTAAGCAGTAAATATTTAAAGAATTATTTTCTATACACATTTCTGTCATTGCTTATGCTGTGGCTCAAGCAGTGCTGCTATGACCTGTGGCCAAGCAGCTCAAGCAGTGCTGCCCCAGCTACACATGTGACTCACTCAAGCAGTGCTGACTCAAGCTGAAGCTGCAGTTTTCGTGCAGTGCGTGTTGGGGTCAAGCAGTTACAGCTAATAATGCTGCTTACATTCTTATGGCAATTTGGCAAAGGGAAAGCGTGGTGCTGGTAAGCTGATTTCGAGTTACTCACATTCTGCACAATGCCATTGATGCGGTTGCCATCTGTCGCAGGAGCAGCTCCTGTTCTTGCTGCTGCGGTTCCAGTTGCTTCAAGTGCCCTTGCCTGTCCCGTTGCCGTTGACTTTGATGCCAGAACCGCCTTAGAATGCGGCAAGACACCAGCAGCACACTTTGTGGGCGATGACAAGGAGGAATTGGCTGCTGCTGCTGCTGCTGTTGGATTGGTGTATCTGCAGGAGCTGCTGGAGCTGTTGCTGGAGTTGACGTTGACGTTGTTTTGGTTGCTGTTGGGCGGCAGGGGAGAGGTGGGCGGTGTGGGTTGTTGTGTGGGAGCTGTGGGGCCCGTTCTGTTGCGTAAACGGGCCAACGCACTCCGTAGACCCTCCGTAGTGTCTGTGTCGGCCCACCTTCCAAATGAAATGCATCCGCAGTGCAATCTCACAGCCTGCGCCACACAGCCTCCCGACTGCTGTCCTCAGCTGTACCCTTGCGGCTTCCCTCTAGCTTCATGCACTAGCCGCAAAGTTTTTCCGCATTCATCTTTGGCATATCAAACATCAACCGCAAGTCCTGGTGCCAGGAGGTAGCTGCAGGCTGCAGTGCCCCGAAAGTTGTTCCGAAAAGTCAGCAATCCGGAGAGTAGCTGCAAGAGAATTATCAAAAATGATTAACAACTTTTATGCGCTGCAGTTGGAGGTTCAAACTATAGCGTATTGCTGGATTCAGCTCTACCCAGGGTCATGACCCTGTTTCATGTCTTTATGCAGCAAACTTTCGGCAACAAATGTCCCTTCAATGTGGCCCCAAGAGCCAACAAGACATTCCATTGAGAGAGAGCAACAAAAGGTTTTTGCCGGCACTGAAAGTGAATTCTGTAATTTCTGACACACAATTAAAATCATGTCCCACAGGTACTCCACTCCCCTTTGGCCCTCTACGCTGATATTGCCTCACAGCCCCACCGCTTGACTCCTGTCGCTGGCTGGGCTCCTGTGGCCGTCTGTTGTTGCCATCAAGGCCCAGCCCAGCCATTGTGGTGCCCCACCATGGTCCTGCCCTGAGTGCAAGGATTATTTAATGCTGCAACATTGCAGCTGTGACTAATGTGGCGAGTGCACACGACCAGCAGACAGGAGACAGGAGACAGCAGCCAGGAGCCATGAGATTTACCTCGCAGCAGCTGGAAGCTAAGCTCCTTTCATAAGCGTTGGATTATGAGCATTTGCGTGCATTTGCTGCTGGCCACTGCCACTCTCTTTTGAGCTGCAATTCAACTGATTTTCCTTGGAATTATCCCAGGACATACCAGGAGTGCCCTTTCCTTTATGCTGCTGCTAATAAAATAAACTTTAAGGGAGCACAAAACAAAACAAAACAAAACAAATGCTGAAGCATAATCAAAGAGAGAAGCTGAGGAAGCTGGCGGGGGGGGGTGCACAGCTGACAGCTGATTCCTGGCAGCCGGCAAAGCCTTTAAGCCAGCGTCTCAATGCCCAACTAAAAGTTGGCCCCGACAGGTGTATGCAAATGGAGAAAGTCATTAAAATGTTGCCGCTGCTCATGATAATAATGATTTGCCGGCACATTGTGTTGGCCTGGGAGACGAATGCTTTGGCTTTGGTCAGCCAGCACAGGAGGCCAATAAACACGGCCATAAAAGCAGCCATCGCAGCCCAAGCCCACCCATCAAATCACAGTGGCTTCTAAGGGGGGGAAACCATTGTAAACGAAATCATTTTCTGGCTTTGCTGTTTCAAAAATAAAAGAAGAGAACAACTTAAGTGCAAATTCATCATTGTTGTTCCGCTGCGAAAGCAATTTGCCAGCAAGCCAGCAGCCAGCAGCAAGCAATTATTTTTCTCATATTACGTATACGCAACGCGTGCCCAATGCGCTGCCAACAGATTTATACTTTCATTAGCAGGCAAACAAGCGCCGCCGCTGCTGACTTTACTTATGAAAAGTCTCTCGGCGAACAGAAGCCAAACTGCTGCCCTGTCCGGCACTTATTTGCATAATTCTTCTACTTTCAAGGGGGACAACTAAATGCTCATTGAAAGAGCGGAAAACTGTGAGGGACAGCCTGCAGCATTATTCATTTAAATGCATAAGCAATATATGTAAATGGCCCCATGTACACGTTGCCACTTAAATCACTTTGTAATCACTCATACGCAGCGTGGCGAGTCCTGGGACAGGTGAAGAATAATCACAAACGCCATCACAATCGATGATTATTATCATAATGGGGCGTGGGTCTGTGCATCGATTATTTCGCATTGCTTTATGTGATTGATTAATGATTATTTTTCATGATGAAGCAACTAATTTATAATGCAGCACACAGCTCATATATCAGAATGGAAGTTTCCAGAGGACATGCCATGGAGACACCAACTGGAATCTGGCAAATTAATTTGTGTAAAGCCAGCAGAAATAAGCGACAGTTCTGTATGTTAAGGCATTGCCTTATTGCTTTGATGGCATCAATGCATGAAACAGTTTCCAGCACTGTTTCGGAGCTCCTTTTGTGTGCATATTCTTGCCTCTATCAACTGCTCCCATTGCCAGCTCCGCACCTCATTGGAGCTGGCAGCAATAATTGAATTTGGCAGAAAGCTTATACAAAAGATTCCAGCGGGGCCGCAGCTGAACTTTGATGCCACTTAATTAGGCGAAATATAGGCCAAGCGTTTGTCTGCTGGGGGAGCATATCCCCAGCAAGTCTTTCAAACATCAAACGCAAGGCCTTTCGCTTGAGAGCGAATTAGTTTCAGTTCAATGAAGAGGAGTCCACAAGGCAAGGATTCCTGGATATTGGCAAAATGGTTTAGGGCGTTCGTTGCATAAATTCTGTTTCATTGAAATTTCTCTATTAGACGCGTTGGCGTATGGGGATTGACTTGATGTTGGACAAGCAAAAACGAGCAACATTTCGTTGCCAGCAGCAACAGAGGGACACCACACCGAATGAAGCTGTCCATCAAGAGCATCGTTATCCATGGAAGGGTCAAGAGAAGAAGGTCACCTGGACAACAGTCCACCAAGAGCCATTCAATCTGTAACGCTCTGTGTGTGTCAGAGGAAGGGTCTCTGGTCTGCCGCTTAATGGGAAGCCACTTAAAATATTGACCCAACCGCAGAGACTCGAGCTCGTAATCGTACTTATATTTATGGTACAGTCTGTCTGGGTGGGTGGGTTTATGTGTCGCTTTACTGCTGTTGCATGCCACAACGGAATACAGTAGACGCCGCAGGAGTGCACCAACTGCAAAAGTCATTGGCCTGCTGCTGCTGCTGCTGCTGCTGTGCAACAGGAACATGGAATAAGTCTGTCTGTCTGTCTGTCTGTCTGACTCCATGTTGCTTGTGCAGCGCAACTTTGACTTGGATCTATTATTCCCGCTTGGCTGTGGATTTAATCAAGCATGAAATTGTCTAATGTCGGTGCTGGGAAATGTTTAGGGGGAGACAACACGACTCGACGCGAGTTTGATTAAAGAACTTTCTTGGGTCTTGAGACTTTAAATGGTTGGAAATGTATGAAGATTTAAAAGCATTCAGAGCCAAGAAAAGGACATCTTGAGTGCCCAGTTCCTGGGCTATGATGTTGGCCTCTTTTCCGTTGAATTAGCTAAAGAAACTGTTTCAAAGAAGTGAAAATGCCAGTTGAACATTTCCCTAAATTCATCATTTTTCAGGCTTACATTTCTTTGCCAATCAGTCTAATCCTGTTAGCTCGAATTTACAATTTTGTAGCAATTATCGTGCCAAGTCAGCTGTGTCAACACACACACATGTCTAACGAGATATGGCAGCAGCAATGGCAACTGATTGATGCTGTCACCTGCAAAGTTGTGGCGGGAGTTGGCAGAGAACTCTGGTCGTAAATCACAAACGATTCAGCCAAGAATGCCACAAATGACTTCATTAAAAAGCGTCTGCAGAACGGATGAAAGGAGCGGCAGGAGCAGGCCCAGTCAAGTGTGTCTAGGGATAAGAGTGGAGGCTGGCTTTCCCTATCAATGGCTGACACATGCACAGCCCCAAGCCAGAACCCAAAAGAGAACCCAAATTGGATGGCAACTACTAACAACCATTGTCTATGATAAACAAAGGGCGAGTAAACTTTTGCCTAAAGTTAGCCCTGAACCTTTTCTCTGGTGACATTTTGCAGCAATAATTGTTTGTAAAATCTGTGCCGGCGGGGGTGTATGTACTCAAATGCAGGCCCTAATTGAAGGACCAGTGTCTTAGCCGTTTCAGCAAAATTGAAATCAGAACAGAACAATCATTGAAGACAAGCAACAAGAAATGGGAGACACAAGTCCGAGGAAACTACTGCGAAACTTTTCTGCCTTTTTTCAGCTTTTGTTTTGGCCAGTTCTCCCCCTCCCCCGTTGACGCTTTTTTCTTGTATTTTTCCTTTATTATTCTTTTCATGTTTCTTCGCACTTTCCTGCGTGCGGTTCTCGGTTCTCGGTTCTCGGTTCTGATTTTCCGGCATTGTGTCATTGTCCAAAATGTTATTATGACCCACAAAACCCCAAAAAAGGAAAAGCCGCTGCGTCTTTGAGTGGGTTTGGGGGCTATTGTCTCATAAAGGAAATTCCTCAGCGGTATCCAGCTGTGGCAAGCAGGGCACAGGGAGACCAATGGTAATCGGCTTGGTCGACGACCTGTTAGCCCAGCAAATTAATCTCTATAAACGCGGCGGCTCAAGGCCATCGACCAAAATGCCAACTGTATTGGCAATTAAATTTCAATTTGAAAGTTTGCAAAAATGCTCAATGCTCAGCGAAGTTTTTTGTACGAACAGAAACTTTTGATTAAAAGTTTTAATTGATTTGCAATAAATAAGGAAACGGAACTTAAAATGTCACAAAAGCAATTTTGGAACCAAAGAAACTTCAAATCCAACTCCAGACTCGACTCACATGTTCCTTGAAGGCAGCGGCGGGTGGCGGGTGGCGGCGGCGGCACCACTAAATAAATAAACGCCAGCTTGCGGCTAGACTGTTATTGTCGGTTGTGTGAAATTTGCATTTCTTTTTGGGGGTTTTTTTTTTATTAAAAATTATATAATTTTATTTTTAGCCAGGAAGCTAGGCAAAAAAGCATAAACTGTCACACACACACACACACACACACACTTGTACTATTTGCGAGGACTGTGGTTCTGCGTCTCACAAGCACATTCTTTCCAACATTTGTTGTGTCCTCCTGTTGACCGAATTTCCAGGCGCTTTTTGCCGAAGACTTTTTTCCGACGACCAATGGCGACGAGTGTTCAAATGCGACTGAAAGCTGCGGCTTGAAGCTGAAGCCGAAACAGCGACTGCGACTGCGACGGCAACGGCGACGGCGACGGCAAAGAAATGAACACACACGAGTGAGGGGGTGGGTTCGATGCCAGAGCACGAGGTAAAATAGCGCGAATGTGCGTGGAAAGCGGTAAAGGCGAAGCATAAGAAGAAGCAGCTGACACATATTCCGCTTTGTTTTGGTTGTGACCCCCACAGCCGCAGTGGTGTGTGTGTGTGTGTGTGTGTGTTTGAGGGGACGGCACTGTGGGAAGTTGGTTGCGTTGGAGCGGGCGAAGGTGTATCCATAAGTAGAGCCGGCATATCTCTCTCACTCTGCCTTGCCCCGCTCTTGACGCCTGCGCTGCAGGACCCACTGATTCTAGGCTACCTCAAAAATGAAACCCAAAATTGTACTTTCTACAGCGGCAGTGGGAATCATTGGCTCGTTGGATATTTTCAACAAAGGAAAACTTTCGGTGCACAGATTGCGACTCGAATTGGATTCTTCTGCGGTTCCCATTCAATTGTCGCCCTGCTAGTTCCCCCCTTTACGGGCGTTCATTCTATTGATTTCCCTTTGACACAATATACCGATGAACGTTTTTGTTTACGAATCTGTGTACCAGAAGACACGCCAATGAATAAGTGAGTAAGAGAATGAATGAATGAATGAGTGCACACATACACACACAAGGCATGGGCTTGGGGCTCCTTCCTCCAGTTAGGTTGAATGACATTGGGCATAGGCTGCGCACCCCAACGACCCCCTCCCGCTGTTGCTGCATTTCCCGTTAACGTAATGTCGCACGTTGTCCTCAATTCCGAACGGGAAGCCCATGGGTGTGTGTGTGTGTGTGTGTTTGTGAGTGTTTGGGTCGTGCCTAGCACGTCATCATTTTCTAATGCAATGCACATGCACCATGAGATGACGACCTGAGGGCTGGCGACTGTAAATGAACAAATTAACAGACAGCCAGCCTCCCTTGTGTGTGTGTGTGTAGGTTGCTCTATTTTAGCTGATGCTGTGCAATGTGCCAACTGCTCTTCGCCTCCTTTGCTGGACTATTTTCCATTTCTCGGAGTGCTTCAGTGCACCAGAATCAGTTGAGTAGCGCAGTGACTTTGCTGCTTGTCAGCTAGATGAAAAGCAAGGACATCTCAGGATCGATTGACAACTAGGCTTGTCAGCATCTGTTACCAAGTTTCAGCTTCAAACATTGTTAGATAACCAAAAGGGAAAGAAGAGACAAGGGAACGGCAAGTACATGAATTCTACATCAAAAGTGTATCCAAAAATATGCTACGCTGCATCTCTGCTGCTCCACAGTGTAAATAAAACGTAATTTACCTAGAACCAAATTAAATTAACGCCCGAAAGTATTCAATTATCTGCGGCAATCAAAGCACTAATTTAGCCCGTTGCTTCGTTCACATAAATTACACTATGCAACAGCCGAATTAAACGCAGCCATGCAAGCGACTCTACTGATGGAGCTGAGGCAACAAATTTGCTAAATAGATTGGCCCTATAGCGGCGTTCAATGGCGAAGTTCTTCCAAAGTTATTCTACCTCCGATAGCACACATACAAAAAATATTTGCTGCACAGTGTTATTTAAACACGTTCACAGATACACGCACCTTATGTACATTTGCTAAGTAAGCAAATACACAAACATCGCGTCGAAAATAGGCGACATAAATGAGTAAGTGTAAACAAACAAAAAAGTGCCGGCAAAACGGAATAAATTATTCAACTAATAATACAGACCGCATGAGATTGAAATGCCACGGCAAAGGGCCGGTATAAAGCGCGGCTTGCGGAACTTTGTACATCAGTGACAGTCGCGCATCAAGAGAGAGCAGAAGATCGGAGAAAAAACCAGCAACAAAACGTACAGGCGCAAGCAAACAACCGCAAGAACGATTTGCAGAGCAGAGCGCAGCGAAATCAGTGAAAGAGAAACATAAGCAGCAACAACGCCGAGAAGGGGGGTGACTAAAAATGAGCAGCGACGCCGAGGAGAAAGAAGCGCAGGTACAAATTACAAACAATTTAAACTTTGGCTGTCAGTCCCTTGCGTTGGTTCTCTCTCGTACACGCGAGAAAGGGGAAAGCTTTTCGTGTTGTAACTAAGTGAAATTAAGCTGTGTTTGTCGGGTCAAAGGTAAATTTTAATTGTGCGGTGTCGAGTCGAGTCGAGAGATCACTGCGAATACTATTTAACCTCATAAAAATACGCATTGTTGGGAGCGGCAATGAAAAGCAATAAAAGCCAACGACGCGAGAGAGCGAACAAACGAAAGAGAGTGGCTCTCTGTTCTGTTTTGTTCTTTTCGATAAGCAAACAACAACAAGCATGTGTTCACACATGGTATGCCTATATTAGGTATGGCCCGCTCTTCGAGGCAAAGAAAATCAAAGGCAATTAATGTTGTACCTTTTTTGCAGTAAACTTTAGCTAAGAACTGGTATAAACAAGTGTCAGAGGTGTTTGATTTAATTTGCCGCCGCGGAAATGTAAATACACCTCAAAAAGGTGCCTCGTGTGGAGTTGTCCACACCTTTTATGTTTGTACCCTGCTTATAGCCATTAAAGTTATGACAAATTATAGATACAGTTTATACCTGTTCGATCAGTAGAGTGCGTTGCGCCAAAGCGAAAGGTTGCCGTGTATTTAGATTAGTGTTACGATGAGTGTCAGCGGCAGCGACAAGAGCGTACGGCGGCGCGTCATAACGCCGACCAGTGATCCTCACAACACAGATCCTCTGCTGCGGCAGCGGAATTCGCACCTGTATGAGGTAAGCACCAAGCACCAAGCACGAAGCACCCTCAGCTGCAGAGTGATCGCTTTGCTTCTCGATTAGATTGTTTAATTTCGGGTGGGGCATGGGTAATCTTCCCACTGATTGGATTGCTTCAACACATGCATTAAAGTAACCGTGAGCCAACTCCGCACCATATCGGGTTTTTGTCCTCTGTGCCACAGTAACCCTTTTTCCGGCCAGTTCCTTATCATTGTTCACTAATTAACAAAGCGCGTATATTGTACGCAAGCCATTGAGATATGATACCTTCGCAGCCCTAGTTGCAGTCCCCGACTATATCAGCTCCCCTGTCTGGCCCATTTCCGTGGAACCGCCACTGCCACCCCTGGCAGAAGGAGCATTCCGTGTACCCGCCTATCGAAGTCTGTTTCGGGGGGCTGCGCTAGCAGCGCTGACCAGAGATAAGATAGCCCGATGATGGATTAAATCTAACATACGAGTCGGTACACGCATTCCGTACGGTCCGCCTGCCAGCTACTAAAGCTGTCGTTTTCGGGGTGTTAATGATTCGAAACTGAGTCATGAGCCGCCTGTCTATCGTGGCACAAGAAATATTAACTTTTTGCCACTAAAATTATCATAGAAACAGGTGGCCATGTGATATGCAAGAGCATAATACTAGGAACCACAATTGAACTGACTCATAATACCGAAATAGTAAACAGGAAAAGGGCTAATGATCTCCTTTCCTTCTTCCAATCTTTAGCAGAACAAACCCAATGGCTGCGAGCGTGCCTTTGTGGAGTACAACAAAATCAAATGGTTTTGGGCGCCGGCATTCTTTGGCTTTTGGCTGCTGCTGTATGTGGCCATATCCATACCAGCCTGCCACCACCTGCCACGTCCGCTGACCATCAAGGATGAGGCCAAGTATCCCGATCGCTTCATTGCCGAGCGTGCGGAGAACAATCTGCGGCAGCTGGTGGCACTCGGACCACGTGTCGTGGGCAGCAAGGAGAACGAAATGGGCGCCGTGAAGGTGCTGTCCGGCAGCGTGCAGAAGATACGCTCCGGTCTGGGCTCTGCCAATGACATTGAGGTGGATGTGCAGGTTGCCTCCGGCAGCTACGTTCACTGGTCCATGATCAACATGTACCAGAGCATTCAGAATATTGTGGTGAAGGTTAGTCCGAAGAACACCAACAGCACCACCTATTTGCTGGTCAACAGCCACTACGACTCGGTGCCCGGGGGACCTGGTGCTGGCGATGATGGCTCCATGGTGGCCACTATGATGGAGACGCTGCGCGTCTTGGCTCAGTCCAAGACGGCTCTGAAGCACCCTGTTGTGTTCCTGTTCAACGGCGCCGAGGAGAATCCACTGCAGGCATCGCACGCGTTCATTACGCAGCACAAGTGGGCCAAAAATTGCAAGTAAGTGGAACACAAACTCTGCTTTTGCCACCTGTCTCATCTCTTGCCTCTTGCCTTTCACAGAGCCCTCATCAATCTGGACTCTGCCGGCAATGGCGGTCGCGAGATTCTCTTCCAGAGTGGACCCAATCATCCCTGGCTGATGAAGAGCTATCGCCGAGCCATCAAGCATCCGTATGCCTCCACCATGGCCGAGGAGATGTTCCAGAATAACTTTATACCCTCGGACACCGATTTCCGCATCTTCCGCGATCATGGCTCGGTGCCCGGTCTGGATATGGCTTACCAGTACAACGGTTATGTCTATCACACGCGCTTTGATCGCGCCGAGATCTTCCCACGCGGCAGCTTCCAGAACACTGGCGACAATCTGCTGGCGCTGGTGCGCGAGATTGCCAACTCGCAGGAGCTGGAGGATACATCGGTAAGGAGTTGCACAGAACACGGGAGAGAGCTCCGACTTCATGCCTGATCCTCTTGTTCCTCCCAGAAATACTCCGAGGGACACACCGTTTACTTTGATGTGATGGGCTGGTTCCTGGTCTTCTACACCGAAACGGAGGGCATCATTTTGAATGTGATTGTCTCCCTGGTGGCCATCGGCACCTGTCTCTATGCCTTCAAGCTGATGGCCTACAACTCGGGCCTCAAGCTGGAGAAGCTCCTCAAGCGTGTGCTGCACACCTTTGCTGTGCAGCTCTTTGGCCTGATGTTTGCCGTTGCCATCACGCTGTTCCTTGGCTGGTTCATGGATCTCGTGCACTTGCCCATGTCGTGGTTCACGCACTCTTGGCTTATACTCGGACTCTACTTCAGCACCTTCCTGTTCGGTTTGGCCATAGTTCCAGCCATGTATTTCCACTACACCAAGGAGGTGAGCAGCAGGCAGCAACACTCAGTCCAAAGACTCATTTTCCTTTCCTTTTCCAGGACAAACTGCCCATTGGCCAGCGCGTGCAGCTGCTGCTCCATTGCCACTGCCTCTTCTTGGCCTTCTCCACGCTGGTGCTGACCATTTGCGGTGTTCGCTCCGTGTTCGTTCTGATGCTCTCCTGTTTGTTCTACACAATGGGGCTCATCATTAATCTGGCCACCAAGCTGCACAGCAAAGGTAGGCAAAGGCACGCCCATGGAGCTTCCCCTTAAATCAACTTCTTTGCCCTCTTCCCTTAGACGTCGCCTGGGTCATACCACACATTGTCTGCTTTGTGCCTCCGTTTGTGTTCTTCGCCTACTTCTCGCATGGTTTCTTCCTCACTTTCATTCCCATGTTTGGCCGCTTTGGGGAGAATGTCAACCCGGACCTCGTGGTGGCTGTCTTCAGCATTGCCGTGGGCCTGCTCACCTGCGGCTTCATTGTGCCCGTGCTGCATCTGTTCCGCAAGTCCAAGACGATCATTTGTGCGCTGCTGGCCATTACCTTGGTGTGTGTGATCATTGCCATAACGCCCATGGGTTTCCCCTACCGCCCCGAGACGAGTGTGCAGCGTTTCTCTGTGCTGGTAAGCGAGGATCCCTAAGAGCGCTGAGAGTGGAAGTTGATTGTCTTTTTGCAGCATGCCAAGCGCACCTTCCATGATGCCGACAACAAAATACGCCGCCAGGAGTCTGGCTACTTCATTATGCCGCAGGACAGACGCACTTACGCTGTGAAACGTGTGTATTTTGTTGGTTATTTTCCATGCTGGCAGAGCTCTTATTATATTTAACCCTTCAGATGATGTCATTAACATGACGCTGGCCCAGAAAATCGGCGCTGATTGCCAGAAGGAAATGATGTGCGGTCTGCCGTTGTACAATCAGCGTTGGCATAAGACCAGGTAAGCTCCTGGACCTGCAAGTTTTTGCACTGCTTAAACCTCGAATTCTGCTCCTCAGACAAAACACCCTGTGGATACCAGCCTCCGAGCCGCTGTTGGGCACTGTGCCAGCTATCAAAGTGATCAGCAAGAAGCAGGTTTCCCCCAACAAGATACGCTTTGAGCTGCAGTTGAGCGGACCCGATCATATGGCGCTGTTCATACAGCCCTTGAATGGCGCTGTCATGAAGGATTGGTCCTTCCATCAGGCGCCGCTGCGTCTGAACTTCCAGCCTCCCTACTTTATCTACTTCTCGTGGGGCGTTAATGGAGATCCCCTGAATTTCTGGCTGCAGCTGGAGGTGGGTTTTGGCTGCATCAATCGAAGCGTTTCTCTTACCTTTTGGCTTTTGCAGAAAACCAACGGCGACTTCAAGACGCCCCTATTTGAGCTGGGTGTGGGCGGCCATTGGACCCACCACAAGGAAATGTTGACGCCAGACTTTACGAAGTTCCTCAACAGTTTCCCCAAATACGTGGATGCCACGCCCTGGCCGGCATCCTACGAGACCTGGATCTACTAAGGATCGGGTGTTTCAATTGTTTTAAATAAATGTACTTCTAATCGAAGAGACGACGAACCAGTTATCGTGTAAAGAGTGAACTTTGGACTAGAGATAAGAGTGGAAATCCGTCTGCAGATGACGGATGGCTGTCAACATGCTCACAAAAAACTCCAGTCAGTAATCACTGAGTGTAACATGGCTGCTAAATTAATTATAATTAACAACCCATCAGGTGATAAGAAAGGGTGCTCCGGTTTCAATCTATGTAGAAGTGGCGGTAAAGTTCCCCATGTACCCAGTCAGAGTATAGCAAATTCGTTGACTCTTTCTGACTTGCAGATTAACGAAATTCCTACTAAAGCAACGTTTATGACTGGCGCGGGGCTGGCTCACGTATCAGCAATCGATCTTTAATTTATAATCCATGCGTGCTCCACGAAGAAACCCCCCGACTGGGAACAACTTTTGGCATGTCCACTCACCCGTGGAGTGTGCTGCAGTCCCGTTTTTACTACTTCGAAGTGTGCTTGATGTGCAGACAGATTAGCCAATTCTATTTATTAAATCAATATTTAGATTGCTCATTCATTGAAACTCGATTATCAGCAACATTGATTGATGGCGATGACGATTTCCCAACTGAATTGGGCTGCTAAATAGTTTCGATGCACTCCGCAGCTCGTTCAAGTCTTTGCCTAGGCCAATCATCAGGATCAGTCCCTGTAGGCACTCCAAAACGATCGTTTCTTCTCAGTGCAAAAGTATTCCGTGAGTTATTTCTTCGAACACGGCACATACCACTAGATAATGGTTTAGCGCCGCTACTGACTCTTAGTCATCGGCGAATTCCAGAGGCTGGCTGTGACTGTGCGTGGATTTTAGTAGAAAAAGTAACCGCAAAATTCCCTAAATTTGGTGAGTTGTCAGCGGTTCAGCTTTTGGATTTATGTTTATCGACAAGAGGGCTGGATTTTTCCTGCTACTTATCCCATATTTCAGATCAAGAGTTGCGCCTTAGATTTGCTATAATTCTGCCTTACTTCTCCCATAACTCTGCTATAATTCTGCCATACATTTGCCATAATTCTGCCATACTTTTGCCACACTAAGATCTCTGCCGACACGAGCCCCGGAGCCCTAATCGTTTTTAACTGGCGGCCATCAAGCTATAAAGAGCAATAGCTCCTGCCATTTCAGATCGGCCATCTGCTATCGGCTATATGGCCGCCCAGAACCCCCCCCAAAAATGATTATTATCGCTGCACGATAAGGTTGCTCTGGGCGATCGCAGCGCACCCAGATCGCACCTGGCCCTACTTAATACTTGCTACCTGCTCCGCAGCTCGTCAGTTGAGTTCCTTATTTCGTTCGGTTCGGGTGCAAGTCGCGTGCTACAAGGTTAGTCGATTCTCAAACCAAATCCAATCCGGTTGCCATAATTCAAGGTGGCACGATTACGATCTGCAGGAAATTGTTGGGCGGCGTTTGAGATTGCGGATAACCCAGAACCGCTGTGTTCCGTCAAAATATAAGACATGCCGTAAAAATGGTGAAAAATAAATGTCTGGCGATAACGTCATGAATCGCGAGAGTGAAGGATTTAAGGCACGAAACTTGAAATATAATGGGATGAGGGAAATTTCCTCTTTACAGTGGTGCATTTCCCCGCTATCCATCCAAGTGCCGAAATGTCCCTAAACGAGCCGGGATAAACGCGTTTCGCAGCTATGTTTTTCCTTTTCTTAACTTCTTTTGATAAGCGCATTTATATCCGTTGTAAAATTGTTATCGGATTCTGTTTTTAGACCACCAATGGCCTCAGGCCATTTGGGCATCGTAAAGTTTTGAGCACTCTTTGGGCTTCCAATTAGTTTATGATCCTTCGAAACACTCTCCCACGATTGTACTTCCAAATCGCTGGGAGTAATATTCCATTCGATTTCGGTTTATGCCTAGATTACGGACGCCTAATCGTAGATCGTATAAGAATAATCAGGGGTGCCTAAAAGTAGGCAACGAGCGGGCAGGCGTGGAAGGAATTTCAGGCCACAAAATATGTCACAAAAACTGAGCTCCTTTTTGATCTGCCAGCCTTTACAGATGGCATTCTCCACCTTTGACATCACATCCGAAAAGGATGCAGGCAAATTCCGCGAAAAGAAATGGCCCTGGTACGGCGCACCCATTTATGCGGTCATTTGCTTTGCCCTCTTCTATGTGTCCGTGCTGCCCAGCTTCTACTCGTATCCGGACATGCTGCACCAGCGGGATGAGGCACAGCATCCGGATGAGTTCATTGGCGAGCGATCAATGAAGCAGCTGGCAGAGTACGCGGCCATAGGCAACAAAATGAGCGGCTCGATTGCCAATGAGGTGCACACGGTCAACTTTTTGTTGCGAGAGTTGCAAAAGATTGTGGATGAGTCGCGCTCGGACTTGTACGACATTGAGGTGGAGAAGCAGTACTCCTCGGGCTCCCTGTTCCTCTTTGGCAGCGCCATGAGCTACTCGAATGTGTCCAATGTTGTCGTCAAGATCAGCCGAAAGAGCCAGCAGAACGACAATTACTTGCTGGTCAACTCACACTACGACTCGGAGGTGGGCACACCGGCGGTGAGTGATGATGGCGTCATGGTGGTCATCATGCTGGAGGCTCTGCGCGTCATCTCGCGCTCCGAGAAGCCGCTGGCCCACCCAGTTGTGTTTCTGTTCAATGGCGCGGAGGAGGCCTGCATGCTGGGTTCACATGGATTTATCACACAGCACAGATGGGCGAAGAATTGCAAGTAAGTGGAGAGTGGAGCGCCTCAACCTTAGCTGCAGCTTTGACAAATCTCTTTCCCCGCAGAGCCCTCGTCAATCTGGACTCCGCGGGCGCTGGTGGTCGCGAAATTCTCTTCCAAACGGGCCCGAATCATCCTTGGCTGGCCAAATACTATCATCGGAGTGCGCCCCATCCCTTTGCCAACTCCATGGCCGAGGAGCTGTTCCAGAATAACTTTATTCCCTCCGACACGGACTTTCGCATCTTTCGGGACTACGGCTCGGTGCCCGGTCTGGACATGGCACACGCCCTCAATGGCTATGTTTACCACACGAAATATGACAACTTCAAGAGCATCGAGCGGGGCACGTACCAGTCAACGGGTGAGAATGTGTTGCCGCTGGTCTGGGCGCTGGCCAATGCCCCCGAGCTGGATGACACTGCCGCCCACGAGGAGGGTCACACGGTCTTCTATGACTTTGTGGGTTGGTTCATGCTCACCTACACGGAGTCTGTGAGCATTGCCATCAATGTGACGGTGTGCGTGCTGTCCCTGCTCTGCATTGGCCTCTCGCTGTATCTCATGTCGGTGGATGATGGCGCGGATGCCCTGAAGGCCATCTTCCTGCGCTTTGGCATCATCTTCCTGGTCCAACTGGGCACGGTGCTGGCTGCCTGCGGGCTGACCATTCTGGTGGCTGTCTTCATGCAGGCTGTGGGCTTGTCCGAGTCCTGGTACTACGGCCATTGGATGATCTTTGGGCTGTACTTCTGCACGCTCTTCTTTGTGCTGGGTCTGCTGCCGGCCATCTACATTGGCTGGACGAAGCGGCAGACCAACATGAAGCTGGATCAGACCATCTCCTGCTTCATGCACGCCCACTGCATTGTGATGATTCTGTTGTGCATCATCATGACCAGCATGTCCATACGTTCGGGCTACTTCCCAATGATTGGTGTCTTCTTCTACACCATCTCCGTGCTGTTGCAGATCACGCTGAAGCTCTCGCTGAAGAGTAAGTTGCGAGTTGACTGAACTTGAAGGGCTTCTGGGCTAATGGGTTTATTCTCTCCTTCGTTTAGAGAGCTACTTTGTCACGAGTCACTTGATCTGCCAGGTGCTGCCCTTCATCTACTACACGTACATGTGCTATGCCATTCTGATTGTGTTTGTGCCCATGCAGGGACGCGATGGCCCCGACAGCAGTCCCGATGTGCTCCTCTCTGTGTTCATTATTTATATGACCATGCACTTTGCGGGTTTTCTGGTGAGTCAGAGAGAGCTTCCTAAGATAGATCTTGCTTTACCCGCTGCTTCTCCCCTGCAGATTCCCATTATGCACAAATTCCGCAAGCCCAAGATTATTTTCTCCGTCTTTGGTGCCTTGACAATCATATTCATTATCATAGCAACGACCTCCGCGGGCTTTCCTTTCGTCAAGGAGCTGGCAGCACAGCGTTATTATGTGCTGGTAAGAGTCCACATTGTACCCACAGTTCCTTGCTGATCAAAACCCATTCCCAAACCCTCACAGCACACCACGCGCACCTTCCACAATGCGGACAACACTGTCAAACAGGACTCTGGCTTCTATATACAGCCCGTGGATACGAGACTGGGCGAGCTGGATGATACCACGTTCAAGAACAGAGAGCCCTCCAGCTGGACGGAGGCCACGTGTGCCGCGGAGCCCTTTTGTGGTTTGCCCATTTACAGCGGTCGCTGGATTGATTGGAAGTAAGTTTGCAACTGCCTCAAGTGAGTGTCTCCTAATGCTCTTCCCATTTGCCTCCACAGAGACTCCGCTAGATGGATCTACAGCACAGCGCCAGAGCTACCCATGAACATCGAGCTGACGCAAGTCTCCAAGGCATCTGTGGCAGCGAACAAAGTGCGCTACGAGTTCAGTTTGCGTGCCAGCGATCGCGTCATGATCTACGTTGATCCGTTGGCTGGGGTCAGAGTCTCCGACTGGTCCTTTGACAAGACTCCACTGGATGAGGCGCACACGCCGCCCTATCTGATGTATCACCTTTACTCCCTCACCGAGGAGCCCTTTGACTTTTGGGTGGAGCTCGAGCACGAGGAGAGCCATGCGCAGGGGCCGTACTTCAAGCTGGTTGTGTCCGAGCACTTCCTCTACCACAAGGAGCACTACACCGAGGACTTTCGCGCATTCCTCGACACTTTTCCCGAGTGGACGTACACCACGGATTGGTTCTCGTCGCTGGAGAGTTGGGTGCTGTAGTCGATTTGTAAACTTAATAAATAATTTATGATATATTTTGAGTAAGCTAATTATAAACTTAAACCTTAA